CATTCGGTTTGGCGGTTGTTGACTGAAGCCTTCTCCAGCTGTGCCCGGCTGTGGCTCCTCATCATCAGCACTGAAATTTCGAGTTTATTGGTGACAAAAGTGTGACTCATAACATTACTGGATAAAGGATAAGGATCTAATAAACTTACCTTAGAAAAAACAACCAATAATAATCTGAAATAGAGTATCAGATCCTCGTTGGCTCGTTTTTTGCAATTGAAAATGCATGAACAAAGCCATAAACTACATTCTAAAAGGAATAAATATTACTAAAGAAATCGTAGTGTAACTACTCAAAAAGAGATAGCTGATGATGTCGTTTGTTTTGTCGGAAAACGTCAAAGAGACTCCTTTTCCCATAGACATTTCTCTGTCTCGTGTAAGTAACTCAAATTTTGAAGTACAAAGACTCTGATCTTTTCTCTTTTATCGCTTTTAAAAGAGTTGAATCGAGGGATCTGATGAGGTCTGCCCGTTTAGAGTCTCGTTTAGAGTCTCGTTACCCCGATCTTTCCCTTTTCTTCGAGAGAGTTTCTTCGAGAGAGTTTCCTCTTCTCTTTGTGACCCCATTCTCAGCCCATCAATGCCCTTCTAGACCCGAAATTCTTCAATCCATTGTTTTTGCTCTTTTTACGAAGGAAATCTTCAGTAATTATTTCGTTTTTTTTAAAAGACTTCAAGAGTCATTAAAGAACTTTGGTTCCGTTTAAGTTTTTTTAAGATTTCCGATTGGTAGTGTTGAAATGAAAGGCCACAATCTTAGTGGTTTTACGATTTTCGTATTTGGTAACCTTGAAAGCTTTTATAAATGTTTAAATCATTTGAATCTTAGCAGCAATTTTAGTTTAGTTTAGATAATAAGTATACCTAATCTATGTAGTTTCATTCTTGAACTTAAACTTAAACCATTCTTAAATCTTACCTTACCTTAACCTTAAAGCTTACCTTACTTTAAATCTTACTTTACCTTAAGCTTATTCTTACCTTACCTTTTTAAATCTTAACTTACCTTAACCTTAAAGCTTACCTTACCTTAATCTTAAAGCTTGCCTTACCTTAAATCTTACTTTACCTTAACCTTAAATCTTACCTTACCTTCTTAAAGCCTACCTTACCTTAAAACTTAACTTACCTTAACCTTAAAGCTTACCTTACTTTAAATCTTACTTTACCTTAAGCTTAAATCTTACCTTACCTTTTTAAATCTTAACTTACCTTAACCATAAAGCTTACCTTACCTTCTTAAAGCTTACCTTACCTTCTTAAATCTTAACTTACCTTAACCTTAAAGCTTACCTTACCTTCTTAAAGCTTACCTTACCTTCTTAAATCTTAACTTACCTTAACCTTAAAGATTACCTTACCTTCTTAAAGCTAAGCTTACCTAAACCATCAATGAATCATTTCTACCTATAACTGAAGAACTTAGCACTCATTTTTAGCTAGTTTTACCATAATTTCTCATTGTTATGAAAAATCACAAATCTTTCATGATATCTCTTTGTTTTTTAACTCACCAAGCATTTCATCAACCTTTTTTTGAAAAGCTTTCAATCAAAAATTACTTTTTTTTTCTTCTTTATTTCTCTGGGGAATCAAGCGTAGCACTTAATTACTTCTGCAGAAAAGAAAACTTTTTTTTTCATCATTCTTCATGGGATTAAAATTGTTTTAAAATGTTAAGCTCATGTCTTATCTTTGAAATTTCTTTAATTCAATCTACTCTACTTTCAAGCTACTCTGATAAGTCAAGTTTTCACGTCAATAATTGCTAAATCCTTTAGCCATTGATTCCACAATTACTCTTCAGCCAAATCCATTCAGTTTTTTTTTCACACCAACACTCAATCCCTCTTTTCACCCATTTCAGCCACTTTTTTTGAGGGATCATCATTTGAAAGTGACATAAGAGTTGCCCTTTTCTTTTCCCATCTCTTGTGTAATACTTTATTTCCACTCATCGCCCCCTATCCGATCATTCGAAACCACACATCTTGCCAATCATTTATTGACTTTTAACGACTTTTTTTCCGGAATGAAAGATGCCGGAATGGAGGATTTAGTTTAAGAAAAGCTTCTCCCTAGGTTTTCTTTAATTTTTACTCATTGTTGATTCCAATACTCTCTCCAATATTGAGTCATTAATCAAGATCCCAACAAATCAACAAATGTCTTGTTCAGGTCTTGTCCAGGTCGAGATCCCCAAGAGAAATTGCTTCTCATTTATCACTTTATCCTAAATCTTTCTCCTCATATTTGAACAGGATTAGACATCAATCAAGTTTAATTGAAGAAAAGAAAAATAGAATGGCTTTTTTTTATAAAAGCTAATATAGTGATACTAGTAGCTAGTAGACAATGTTAATTGTCATCTGTTAATTGTCAATTGACAAAACAAAAAAGACAATATTCTAAAATCTAATAATAAGCTGGATAAAGTCAAAGAAATAGCTCTAAAAGCCAATTTTAATTTCACGATTTTGAAATAAGCGTTCCAGAAAAAGGAAAAGAAAAAAGGAAAAAGAAGGAGAAAAGAAATCCATGTGCTACATGTCAAAATCTTCAGAGTTGTATGAGAAAAGAGAAAAGAGAAAAGAGAAAAAAGAGAAGAGACTCGGGATGTGTTTTGCGAAAAGTGGAATGACGGACGACTCGTGAAAAGGGGGGAAAAAGGGGAGATGATGCTGGAAAAGATCAAAAAGGAAGCGAAAAGACAAGGAGAGATCCCCGTCAGTCCCCTTGGGGAGGAGGGGAGGAGGGAAGGGTGGGGAGGGGAGGGGAGGCTTGTCTTTTACATGCATTTTTCGCTTACCCCATTCGGCTTCCCCCGCTTACCTGACAATTTCGATTTCTGGTTTTACCTTTAAGCTCATTTCATTTCTTCTATTTCACTAAGCCCCATTTCAACATCATTTATTTGTATTTTCTTTATTTTTCCTTTAAATTCTCACCTCCAAACTAAAGCCAACGTTTTTCATTTCGATTTTCTTCATTTTTAATTTAAATTAAATTTCTAAAAACTAAAAACCAATGAATTTAAGCAAAATTTTCAATTTCTTAAAAGTTAATCTCTTAAATTACTTGAATTTCTTGAATTTCTTGAATTTCTTGAAATTTCAAACATTTCCAGGTGTTTCCCTGATGAGTTTTGATAACTAGATTCACCTGAATGTCTAAAAATCCCCCCAAAGCTCACAAGATTCAAATCTCTATGCAATTTTGCTCTTTTCTAATGGTAACTCGATTACTAAAGCCTAGTTCAATTACATCACTTTCATTTTTCCGCAAAAAGAGAAGCCGGAAATTTGAAACTCGGGACTGAACTTGCTTTCTTTGGCTCGAAGGAGCCGATTCTCCTATAGGAGCTGGGCTTTCTCCTCCTCCTCCTCCTCCGCCTATTGTCTTCCCGATCTTCTATTTCCCACATTCATCGGGCCTCCATACTCTCCCCAAATAAAGACATCATCAAGACTTTCTCTCTACTAAAAGAATTTTAATGTCTACCTCACTTCCAAGAAATTTCAAAACTGCACCAAGACTTAAAAACGAATTTACTATGCTATAGAACTATAGATTATCTTTAACTATAGATTTTAAGTTCAAGGTTATTTCAAGATAATCAGCCGGTCAGAGCCAGATCCTGTCCTGGATTCTGTTCTTATCTGAGCCACAAAAATCCTTGGGATCATCAGAAATCAGATTTAAGCCTGGTCAAAGCCGGTTTCTAACCAGGCTTTGACCTGAACTGGCCGGAATTGAACTGCTTTGACGGTTTTGATCCGATTGGAACAATCCTACGCATCTTATGTTCATTATAAACTTATTCCATTCTTCTTATTTCAATCCATTCCATTCTTTTCCAGCGTCCAAAACTTCATATCCATAATCCCCAAATCTTTTACCATTCACTCAAATCCCATTATATTCTATATGTTTTTTTGGCAAAAGAAATTCAATTTCGTTTTATGAGCATAACAAAAACGTCACGTAAATTGATTTATTTAGCTTTGGGAAAGAGATTGGGATATTGTTTAGAACAAGTAATTATTCCTACTCAAAGAGGGGCACAATTTAGGGTTAAAGGCACATACGGAACTTCCGGCCCTCATTTACGATCACCCTTCAAAAGCAAATCTATAGAATCTCTTAAAACTAAGACGAAAATCTCTTGCGAAAACAAGATCCATTTTTGAAGATGTCATTTGCAGACTTATCTATTTTCAAGTCTCGTGAGTTTATGCAAGAAATCTTTGGCTTTTTTTTCTGTAACCGAAGCTCTTAGCTTATCAGCTTTTTTTTAAATTAAAAGAACCTCTTTTTAAATCAAAAAGAACCTCTTTTTAATCCTCTAATAATAAATTTTGAAAAGTATTTTGTAAATTGACTAACGTCACTTATTTTTGAAGAGCTGGATACCCTTGACTGGGCGACAAATCGAATCAAATCCGATTTGAGTCCAGACTCCAGCTCTCGTTCCCTTGAGATCATAGACATCAACTCTTCAACATCAATTGGAAAGCTAGAATTCCAAGTTATTTAGTAATGTTGGATTTTAGCTTACTTATTACTTAAATAGCCATTTAAATAAAGCCAATTTCAGCTCAATTTCTGACTTGGACTTGGTTTTTTATTTAATGTAGCTAGCTAGCTTTGTCTAAAATGTATAAGACAACTTAATATCCAATTTTCTGGTAACTTCTGTAAAATCTAGAATCTTTTCCCATTGAATTGCTAAATTGTTGATTGAACCTTGGTAACAAACGTTCGCGCACTTTGCCCTTTTTCTTTTTCTCCTTTTCTTTCTTTCATCACGACAAGACAAGAGCTGGAGCTCGTTTCAGCTAATTATTCTCGAGCCAGTGCCATTCAACGATTTGGACACTCTGCTGCAATTCCCTTGTCGTCAATTTCTCGTGATTTTGTTCGATACGAAGAGAACGGGGTTTTGAGCCCCGAAAAGTCCGCTTAAAGCAGCCAGAGATCCGAAATTTCGGCCAGCTATGGCCGCTTATCCACCACCACACATGGATCCGTATTTTCGACCGGATTATAGGTAATTCTTTCTATTTGTTTGTGAATTTTGTACTGTGTTACAGTAAAAAACTTGTTCTTAGACCTTGTCATTCTTAACTAAAACATTTCTTTTTTAGATCCAATCTTTGCTTTTATTTCTTATTTACAATTTTAGACCCATTTATTATGAAAACGATTATTGCGTTTCGCTAAATTGAAAAGACTCAACGGCTTATCCGAATACTCATTTCCCTTTTGCCCAAGAGAAATCACTAATCCAGATCTCAGCTTTTTTGTGAGAAACTTGAAGTTGTTGCTTTGAGGCTTAGGCTTAGGCTTAGGCTCAGACTTAGGCTCAGCTCAGCTCAGCTTAGGCTTAGGCTTAGGCTCAGCTTAGGCTTGGACTTAGTGCGAAGGCTAGCGGCTAGCGCCTAGCACTAAGTCTATTTGGGTTTGGGCTAAACCCCCATTTTCTGGATTTAGGCTTAGGCTTAGGCTTAGGCTTAGGCTCAGGCTCAGGCTCAGGCGTAGACTCAGGCTTAGGCTCAGCTCAGCTTAGGCTTGGGCTTAGGCTTGGGCTTGGACTTGGGCTTATGCTTATATCATGAAGCTTCTGGGCTTGTCTTAAGCTTATTTTTAGACCCATTAATATGAAAACGATTATTGCGTTTCGCTAGATTGAAGAGACTCAACAGCTTATCCGAATACTCATTTCCCTTTTGCGCAAGAGAAATCGCTAATCCAGATCTCAGTTTTTTTGTGAGAAACTTGAAGTTGTTGCTTTGAGGATTTATTTCTGCGTTTGAATGGATTTCAAGTCAAATAGGAATCAAATTTTTCTTTTGAATTTTGAACAATGACTGAGATTTAGATTCTTTTCAATTAAAAGTTGCTCGATAAGCCCTTTTAAGCCAATTAAATCAGAGTAAAGAGATTTTTTGAATGATTTAATGATTCAATGATTCAATCATTTCAATCATTTCAATTATTTCAATCATTTCAATCATTTAAAAGTTTACTTTAGTAGTTTACAAATGAAAAAGTCGATGCTGAGGCCTAAAAATCAAGTCCGACACGTTTTTTTCGTTGTCTAACTAACCACAAAATTCCCCACACCCTTATCGTTCTTCATCAGTTTTTCAGAGAGCAAGAAAATTGGTTCGATCCTCGTCTCGAAACACGAAAGATGGCTTCTTTCTGTTCACGAGACCGTCCCCGCCCACTTCCGCAATTATCCATTAAAATTGGCGCTTCAGTCTCTCTCACCTCTTTTCTCTTCTAGCCAAAAATTAGCCTCATCCTTGCCCATCGTTGCTAGAGTCAGCCCTATCCTTTTCTCAATCATTCGAAGGGTTTTTCCGAAAATTTCCAACATTTGTCCTCTCTCCTTATGCTGAATTATTCACTCATCTCACTCTCTCAATTTTCAGCCCCTCAATTTGCATAAGTAATCAAAAGAGTATCTCAAATCGTGTAAACACAGAGTTTTATCCAATGCTTAAGTCTAAGCTTCATAGTTTTCACTCATTGAAGCCTTTCAATATAAATATTATTTTCTGAAAGTTAATCTTTCCTAGTTTTTTGAAGGATTAGAAGAATTGATCGAAATTTTAAAAAGCTAAATAAAATGATTCAGTTTTTATGTACAATTGACGGTACAATGATTCAAAAATTGGCAACATTTTCTAGATTCATTTCTAAATTTAGCTCTTCTTCTAGATTAGGAATTTCCGTTTCTAATTTCCTTTTCACATGATTCAGTGGCTACAAAAAGCAACTCCAGATAAAAGACTATCATTTTAAACTCAAAAACTATAGCCAAAATTCCGTCAGTAAGCATCGCGAGTATTCTCAATAATGATTTGCTCTCGTCGGAAAAGAGCGCCGCTTTATTGCGAGATTTCTTCGAGGATATGGTTTCAAAGAGGTAATACATTGAAAAAATAATATAGTTAAATAGTTAAAAGATCCTATTTATTCAAGTATTTATAGAGATTTTGAATTTAAACTTTTCAAAATCTTTTTTAAAGTATGATAAGTTTAAAGTAGTCTTAATAAGCTTGACTTATCATTTTTAACAAAATTTTACCTCCGAATTGACTAAAAATTGCAATCTAAGTTTGAAAAACCGATGACTTACAAGGGAAGGTACAATTAGCTGGTCAAATTCTATACGACCTATACGATTTGATGCAGAATTTTATGCTGATGCCGAAAGTAACTTCCGTTTTTGCTAAATGACAATCTACCAGAAGTTTTAAGAATCTAAAGTTTTGTTAGGACTTTGAAAATGTGGTAACTTGAGTCTTAGCGATCTCCTTTTGTCATTTAACAAAAATGGAATACATATTCGGAATCAGAATCAAATTCTGGGTCGAATGGTATAGGCCGCATAGCATTTGACCGGCTCAACCAGTTGCCCTTCTCTTGTTCGTCTGATCATCTATTAAATTTGACTAGACGAAACCCAAGATCATTCCATTTTCTTTTGATTTCACTAGATTGACCACCCAAAAACTCATCTATATTTCATAAATCTTTCATTCAAATCCATTCAAATCTTTCACTTGTTTCTAGACGAAAAACACGTCTTTTCCCTTTTTACATGAACTTTTTCAGTATCAAGTTTCTCAGAAAAATGATTGACAACATACAAGCCAAGCCTAGACTCTGTTCAAAGCACAGAAAAATACTTTAAAACTTAAATCACTTTAAAACTTCTTTCAGACTTTCATTTTGTCTAAGAATCAGACACGAATTTGTATAAACAACGCCTAATTCTTTGCGCCTAAGAGAATCAATTCTTTCTCAAGCCTCTTTCTCTCTTTTCACCCCCACTCCAATCAGAAAAAATCCATTTTGGGGTCTCTTTACGCTGAGATTTCGACAAAAATTCTTTCTGAGATTCTTTTCGCTTTTTTTTTGTTGACAAAGCATTGCAAAAAGATTCACTTTTATTTTCCTAGTTTTCTATTTTTGAATTCCCAATATGAAAACCTCTTTTGACTCATCGTCGAATCGGAATCTCTACACGAAAAGGTGTAACATTGTCGTGTTGTGAAATGCATAACGATTTGCCTTACAAAACGCTAAATAAAAGAACTTTATGTGGTTGTTTTTCTATAAGACTTGCAGATCTGGTCACTTAAAACCAAAAGTTACAACTTACACTTACAAAAATTTGAGTGAGAAAGGTAAAATTATCAAAAACAATATTGAAGGATTTAAATAAATAAATAAATTCAAATCCGGTAAGCAAATGATTACAAAAAGTTTGTTTAGAGCTAAATTCTTGTCTTTAGTGAATCGTACAAGTTCATTCGGATGGCCGATGACCTTCATGATGTGGCCTCTTATCTATCAGATATGCGATTGTGCTTCATCGCTCTTACAATCACGGGGTTTCTTTTGAAAGTTCTTTTGAAAGTTTGATGGATTGATGATAGACAAACTTGATATAGATTGATGATCAACATTTCAAGAATTAAAATTCAAGAAAAGAAGCTAATGAAAACCTTTACCAAATACATCAAATTGAAGTTTTAATATAGTTTTTTTGTAATGAAATACCCACATTTTATTCATAGTCTAAAAGAATAAGTAAATTCTTTCATTTTTTTCAATGTTTTATTTCAGTTACATCGTTCTTATCATCTATTTGATTTTGTTGTGTGTGCGAAGGAATCGACGATCTCCACAAAGAAGGCGTAATTGGGATTTCCCGGTGAGTTTCGTTTAACATTTGTTATTGCAGATGATAGTGCCGTAAACTGGTAGAAATTAAGATCAAAACTTATCCTTAGATTAGATAACAAATTGCATTTGACATTCAAGAGAAAGTACCTGAATTCAGATTGATGTAGGCATTCAGATATATGCGTGCTTAAGAATTGCTTAAGAAAAGAAAGAAAGAAAGAAAGATTGAAAGAAAGAAAGAAAGAAAGAAAGATTGAAAGAAAGAAAAGAAAGAAAAGAAAGAAAAGAGAAAGAAAGAAAAGAAAGAAAAGAAAGAAAAGAAAAAGAAAGATTGAAAGAAAGAAAAGATAAAGAAAGAAAAGAACGAAAGAAATGAAAAGAGATGCTTAAGAATAAGAATTGTAAATTTATTCAGGAAAACCAACGAAACGACTTCCAGCAGACAACACAAACAAACGCCGACGATTTGGTGTCAGTAAGGAGTGACGGTCAAACCGGTTACATGACTCGAAATCATCATAGGTAAAACACTGCCTGAACTTTGTCCAAAACCAAAATTTCCTTTCTAAATTTGTAGCTAAGCTTGTCCTTTTGGTATTTCCAAAAACGAAAGTTTGCTTTCCTTTCAGCGCACTACTGCTTTGGAAGCATAGTCTTCCTGTGCACAACATGTTCAGCACTCGGGTGGGAGCATCCAAAAGAAAATCGATGTACACTACTTGATTACTATGCACACTAAAAAAATACTCTTGACTCCTTAAACTTTAGAGTCTTTTCTCTATACTTTTTGACTTGCATGTGGCGCTGATTTCGGGGATTCTTTATTTAAAAAATAGTTGAGAAAAAAAGTACGAGCTTAACAAATGCAAAAAACGATTAAGGCATGAAAGATTTTGAGGGAAACTAGAGAATTCAAAGGTTATCTAAAAGCCAACAAGTCTAGAAGCTTCAAAGCTTTTGAACTTGTCGACTTGCAAGTCTAGAAGCTTCAAAGCTCTTGATCTTGTCGACTTGCAAGTCTAGAAGCTTCAAAGCTTTTGAACTTGTCGACTTACAAGTCTAGAAGCTTCAAAGCTCTTGATCTTGTCGACTTGCAAGTCTTAACCTAAACCTTCAACTCTTTAAATCCTTTGAAGCTCTAGATTACCTAAACCTTAACCAATTCCACCAAAATAATAAGTTTTTTGTAGTCGAATGGATTCGCGCGCCACACCTTCCTTCATGCGGCACGGACACATGAACCATCAACAGACAACAAGGCTGATGGCCGATCATGATTCATCCACAGTAAAGCATACCGTTCCATCAATTGTCACCGAAGCACCACAAGATGAGAAACCATCACCTGGCGGCGGGCATAAGGTAGTTTTTAGAGGGTTTATTCTAGAAAATTACTATCATAAATAACAATAAAGCGTTTTTTGATTAACAATAGTGAAAGAATTGACTAATTCTCACAAACACGCTTGTATCTAGTGTAACAAACACTTCACAACAAATCAGCCATGTCAATTCCGCCTCTTTTTCCGTTTGCTGTTAGCAATCTACGAATTTTAATCGTATATTAGTCGGGTTTATTTCTAAAACGTTGAATTTCCTTTCAATCGATTTAAAATCAAATTTTCTATCGTTGAATTTGCTTTTATCCAATAGAAAATTTAATTTCAAGTCTAATGAAAATAAATTCGACATTTTTCAAACAAATCCAGCTAAGATACGAGCAAAATACGATTGCCAACGGATCAAATACGGATCAAAAAAGGGGCGTAGTTAACAAATGAATGTTTTGCAAAAAAAAATGAATGCAGCAAATGAATGCTTTGAGAAAAAGCCACGAGAGTCTTTATATTAGCCTAAACTTCTTCTAAAGAAATGAACTTTGAGTTGATTTTATGTAAAAGTTAAGAATAAAGGTCCTTGAGCAATCTACTATATATAAAGGGGACTAAGACGTCTGTCTGTCTGTTTGTCTGTCCGTCTGTCTGTCTGTGTGCGCTACTCTTCAGCCCCCAAAGGACCGTTTACAATGATTTTTGCGTCATTGAATAGGAAATTAAATGTAGTTGTGCGACGTGCTTTTGGTTTCTTTAAAAAGCACAATTCGAGTCGTGCCGGGAGGTCCAAACAGGATCGTATGGGCGATAGACCGGCGCGCTATTCACTGCTCCACGGCGACAAAAGCCGCTAATCCCCAAAACATCCAGAAAAAACTCGATTTCTCGGCTGGTATAAATATAAAAGCAATATAAGCAGACTGATATAAAAGCAATATGTTCTGTAAAACCTGGCTCATTACAATATGATGCAAAAGATTTAGCCAACAAAGCTGGAAAGTCTACTAGAAGCTGAATATCTTTAATCTTTAATCAAGCATACTGTAAGGAAATATTGATTTTAAACATCAGCTTATTATTTTAACTCAAGTTTAACTTATTATTTACATGAAAATCTTTATTTTTAATGTCTAAATTCTTAAAAACTTTGATTTTTAGGTACCGAGCCTCGTCGCCAATGCAGAGTAACCGTCATTACCATCACTCAAACATTCCTCCAAATGAAAACTTCTCCTTATAAAAAAACCGGTGCTCTGCTTTTGTCAATTCTTATCTTTACTAAAAAGATATCAAATTTTTTAAGTCTTACATTTGTTTTGAATTTGTTTTGAATTTATTTTTGACATAATATTCGCAACTGGATGCGGGTGCATGTAGAGAAACTTATCACAAACTGATAAAAAGCTTATTCCTAGCTTTTTTAAAACTCAATTTTCTTTCAATTTATAAGATTTCAAAGAGGTTTTATTAATTTTAAACTTTTTTTAATGGTTTCCTTGATCTCTTGTTCCTTGTTCCCCATTTTTTTTGCTCTTTTAGCTCAACAGTGTGGCCATATTGGTGCTATTTTGCTCGATTTTAATCCTAGTCATTTTTAGATAACAATTAAGTATCAAAAATAACTAATAACTAACTAAATATTGATTTTCAAGTGTTTTATGGTTTTATGTTTGTTTAATATTGGGTTGGTGAATTGAAAACTGTGGGACTTTGAACTAAAATTTATTCAACATAAAGCCATCAATTCATTCCAAATAATTTCCATTATTATTGACGACTTCTGCCCATTTTACAGGCAATTTGCGGATTTCTCTTTCGTAGTAGGATTTTAGCTGGTGTGTGAGACAAGTGTGAGACTCAAAAATGGAGGACTGGAGATGTCCGATGTCCCAGTTTGAGCACTTTCTTCAAAAGAAACCCATTTTGGTGTCAATAGAAAAGTTATAGAGGATCAAAAATTAGGCTTATAGCCAAATTTATAAAAGATACACTTAGTAGTTTTGCTTAAAATGCAAGTTTTGTGAAAATTCGTAAATTTGGCATTTCTTGAAAACCAGTTTTTGAATTGTTCTGAAAATTTGGATATAAGCTTGATTTTTGATTCTCTACAACTTTTCCATTGACACCAAAATGGGTTTCCTTTGAAGAAAGTGCTCAAACTGTCACATATGACAATAGCCCGCAGTTTTCAATTCACCAACCCAATAGTTGCTAATATTCTTAAAAAAATGCTTTAAATCAGGTTTCAAAGTCTTTTAACTGAATATTTATTATAGAAAATTGAAATTGAAAACTTTTTGATATAAAATTTAATCTCTCTTACTAAAGCAAACGAAAATGAAGAATTCAGATTGATAACTTACAAGCTGAACACTTTATTTTCGAATTCTGGCTTAGTAAAGCAAAGCCTTTACTGTATTCAATTCTTTGTATCAATTTTTGATTAGGTTTAGAATAGAAAAGCCAGGGTCATTTTTTTTTCCTTTTCCCCATTTCCAGAAACATTCCACTTTTTTTTAGAAACAATTTTCCTTTTTTCATTTTTTCTTTTGAAATCTCTTGTGCCTTATTTCCAAAAATCTTCTCTAAGCATTTTTCTTGTGAGTTGTTCCCCATTTTTTGTCGTTTTCCCTTCGAAATTTCGGTGGATTTGATAGATTTCCCTTTATTCAGTAATAAATTACTTATAAATTTCTATTTTGAACTAAGAATTCAAGACAAACAATAAGTAAATACAATCAAAAATGTACAATCAAAAATTATGTTGAGAAACACTTAAATGATTCAAAGAAGCTTTAGATAAGCTTTAGGTAAGCTTTAGGTAAGCTTTAACCGTTCTCTACTTCAACTCAACATCACCATTCATTCTTCAAAACTCATTCAAAGTGATTAAAGCATAACATAACTGCAAAAAATCAGTAAAAGAATTAACAAAGAAACAAAGAAACAAAGAAACAATCAAACAAAGAAACAAAGAAACAAACAAACAAACAAATCTTTAACTCAAGTTACGTCGGTGAGATCACAGATTGCCTTAGGCTACTTTAAAATAGAGATTTTTTAAGTAATTTTTTTGAGGATACATAGAAAAGTATGAATATCTTTTGACACCAAAAGCATTTTGAAAAATAGTTTGCATGACGAAAAGTTACAGCCCGAAAACTCATCAATTATCTCTTTTGTGCAAATTTTGATTCTCTGATAGCAATTCAATGATTAAACTTTATTTATTTAATGATTTTGTTTGAGATTCGCCTCTCACAAAGTATTTAATCGAATCACTTTCCGACTTTTTCTAATCCAAGTCGATGATTCGAAGGCATTTCACATATGAAGCGAGCTGGAAACCGATTTTCTTGCATCCAAGACCATCTACGATAGTTACATGCAGGCACATTTGAAATCTAAAATTTCGTACTGATCTTTATCTTAGTACGTATAAATTTACCACCCAACGATAGGAATCGTCAATTTCCTGGATATTGGGGTCGACAAAATCGAATGGAGATCCATCACTCCAATTGCCGTTTTTGTAATTTCCAGTAAATCCAATCCAAGCACCAACATCAGTAGCCAAAGTAGAGCACGTTGGGTAGTAAGTCTGCACCAGATCTGCAAAGCTTAGAAAAACAACCACATCAAGTTCTTTTATTTAGCGTTTTGTAATAAATCGTTATGTATTTCATTCTATTACAAAATCCTTTTAATGCGATGATAATTAAAGTTGAGGTTTTTTTACTAAAGTATTTTCAAAATTGATCAAATTAGAGAAAAAACTTTATTACTCTGGGAATGGGTGTAAAAGAGATGAGTCTAGAAAAATGAGGAAGAGACTAAACTAGGGTCAGAGAATTTAAGGGGCACTTTGTGGCTACAAGTCGATCTGTAACTACAGGATGACCCAAAATTACCCAAACCAATAAAACTCATGGTTTTAAAAACCTTTTCATCGAAAAAACAAAGATTAACATTGCCAAATTTATTCTTTAGCTTGCTTTCAACAATTTGGTTTATTTCTTTTCGAAATATCTCCATGAGCTGCACGTTTTGGGAATCAGTCAGAAACAAGAGGTTCTGTTGTCTCCATAACTATTTAAGGCGAATAAAGTACCTGATGAGTACATTGTTGAATATATGCAACTTAGACTCAAAATTATTGATCGGCTTGAGGGAAACGGTGGCCAAAAGATACGCAGGATCGAGTTCAGCCTAAGCTTTCTGGAGTGATTTTTTTAGTGAATCAATGTGCTTGAATGTGCTTTTGAGTGGCCCTTTGCTTCGAGAACACTCCAGACTAAGTAATCCATTAGATTTGAATCGAGGCTTGATGGTGATCACTGTCTAAAGCTGATGTAATCCGGGAAGTTTCGTTCACACCAGTCTTGGACAATTCGGTCTTTGTAAGCAAGCGCCCAATCCTGTTGAAAGCACCAAGTTTTGTTTCCGAAGTGGATTTGTGCCCAAGGCAGCACTGCTTCACAATATCCAGATAATTATTTGCGTTTACTTTGACGCCCTGCTGACGAAGGTTGGTATGGGTACTTTTGGAGCACCCGCCGATAATTTTAACTCTCATTACATTAACATAGGTTTTCTTAAAGGTGCTTATTAGACTGATCAGAAAAAAACTCGTTACAATGATTTTGAGATGGCGATGAAAGAGAAAAAGCTTTTGAAAAGGGACAAATGCCCAATCAACCCTCACCATAAAGAAAGTCGTTCTCAGCCATCGAATGAATTGAGGCCAAATTTGCCGATGATGAAAGCTCTTTACAGTTTCGCACGCCATCGTCCCAGGTGTAGTACGATTGACTATTACCATTCACATAGGTAAAATTCTAGAAAATATTTGTTATGAAGAGGGCGAGTAAACCGTACCCAAAGATAATAACAAGAATCTGTTCCCCGAAAATAGCTCCATCCATCCAGACAATCAGTTGAAACATCTGAAAATGATTGAGTGATCAATTGATATGCTACCGACAACGATATTTATAACTCATCAATAACAGAAAGTTCATAAAAACATAGAATTGGTTATCGATAGGCACACCAATTTATCAGTATCGCTAATGGCTTTGCAATGTATCGTTAAGAAACCTAACAATTTCCCACTCACCAAGATCTTTGCCAGTACAGAGATATGGTCGTGTCGAAAAACAATCGGTCGACACCCATTTCCCAGTTCCCGGATCCATTAATGCACAAAAGTTCGTGCTGCTATTGAGATTCGGTTCCCCTTTAAAGATTTGCTACAAACGCGTTGTATTCTTCTCACCCGTAGCCCAGTTCTGATAGGTTAACGGCGATCCATCCGCGTACACCCAACGATTATCACTTTTTCGCTCGATTCCGATATAGGGTGCTGTACCGTTAACTGAAAAATGGATTTACTAGCAGTAGCAGTACTGAACATTATCACAAATACTAAATAGCTAACTTATTTGGCTACCTATTTACATACAGATTTGTTTTTATTGAAAAGTTTTATCTATTAGGGTGAACCAAAAGTTTTCTAATTTTTTTATTAAAACTTTCAACATAAATAAAACAACAATGAACGAACTCCAAGTTTCGAAATAAAGACCATTCAAATCCATGACTTGAAGCCATCTATCGGCAAGTTGGTTGATCCCGCGGCGGTACCACTCCTTGTTCTTAGAGGCGAAAAACTCGCGGCACCCTTTTTCGACTTCGCCCAGATTGTTGGAGGCTCGTCGAAGGAAGTGTGCCATGGAGCGGAAAAGATGATAATCGGATAGTGCAAGGTCCGGACTATACGCTGGATGTGGAAGGAGTTCAATTGAGTCGAGATTTTTGATCTTTTCCTTGGTTTGTCTAGCGGTGTGAGGTTTTGCATTGTCCTGAAGGACTATGCGCTTTCGATTGACCAAAGCGGGATATTTTTCACTAAGCGGCGCATACATCCGATCAAGTTGAGCGCAGTAGAGGTCTGCGTCGATGGTCCGACCATTTGGAACCAGCTCAGAGTGAATAATGCCTTCGAAATTCCACCAAACACACAATAATGCTTTCCTTGAGAATCGATCACGTTTTGCTACCGGTTCCGCTAATTGCCCGGAATTCAACTACTGATTTTGCTTGTCCGGATTACTAAAATAGACCCACTTTTCATCACAAGTCACAATTCGGCGAATAAAGCGGTCATCGTGCGGATTTTCCAGCAGTTTTCGGCAAGTGTCTACACGATTTTGAGAGGTTTTCCGTTAAATCATGTGGCACTTCTCGGCAGCTTTTGTTGATCTTTCCAAGGGCGTGAAGGTGCCGGATAACTGATGTTTGAGGAATATCCAGTTCAGCGGAGAGCCTGCGAGTGCTGGTTGATAGATTGGCTTCAACAGCGTTGCGTAGAGCTTCAGAATCCACAGTAGTTGGCCGACCCAAACGTGGCTGATCTTCGAGACCAAGTTCGCCGTTCTTAAATTTTCGATACCAATATTGTTGGAGATCATTCCTTCACCTTCCACTTGGTATATTTTTTTTGGCCGCTTCAGTTGCATTGAACCCTTGTTTCCAATAATGGCGCAAAAGTACCCGAATTTCGAATTTTTCCATCTCTTTCCTAGAAAATAAAAAATAAATAGTTAAACACACGATAACTTAGTAAAATATGAAAGAGCAGATCAAATGCTACAAAATAAATATGGCACGTATATATAAAACGAATTTATTAGTTTTAAAAAATTGTTCAAACTTAAAGAGAAAAAAAAATAGAAAACTTTTGGTTCACCCTAATATATTTAGTATTGAACAAAAGTTTTGAGTCTTTGCCAAGAAATGATTGCAATTCTGTAAGTTGTTTAAATTTAATGAATGAAGAACTATACTCAGTTCTGATTATAGATGCTTATTTTATTTCAAAAAGAATGATATATGTCAATTCTCATGAAAACTAAGTAAATTAATTGGTCGCTAAACTCTTGCTGTACCAACATGTGAACAAAAGTGATGAGATGAAGCCGTTCTCAAAAACGTTAGCGATTTTCGCCGTCATTCCTCCGATTTTTAAACATCGACGAACTGCATCGATGTAGTATTGTGCTAGAATTTCAATTCTTAGCTGTCTCAATAAAAAAAATCTTTGATCAATGTAAAACTTACAATCAGGCATCGGAAAGACACAGATGTTTTCATTTGGAATTGAATAGCTTCCCTCTGGGCAAGATCCAGCAGAAACAGCGACGAATAAAGTTAAAGTGAGTAGCCGAAAGGGTATCATTTAACGCTTTCAAAGGAACTCTAAAAGAGATGAATACAATTTAAAGGTTCACAACTTTATTTAGAGACAATATAAGAAACTCTTGTCGCCAAAATGAACTGTAGTGGTCCCTACGTTTTTTCAGAGTCGTAAAATTTATCAGTTTTTTTTCGGTGAACTACTCAATACTTGATCGCAAGATTTAAAAGAAACAATCTGGAAGTGGAAAAAGAAATGCTTGAAGAATAGATTCTATTTTGATCGACTTAATGCTGTAACTTGTGCGAACTTTGGGGTTGGCTACTTTGCGCCAAATTTTTTGCGCAACTGGATCATTTGCGCAACTGGGTCGTTTGCGCAGCTCGCCATAAGTCTTCTAAGTAAGCCAATCTTTATGATTTTGGTTTCATTTTGTAGATCTCAATAAGTGCAACAAAATGACACCAACATCATAAAGATTGGTCCACTTGGAAGAAAGTTATGACGAGCTGGGCAAGCGACCCAGTTACGCAAAAAAAATTGCGGAAATTAGCCTACTCCCGGATTTTAACTTGAAATTTTGGAAATCAATCAGCTAAAAAAGAAACAATTAAGTCCTTGTTTATTTATTTTATTGTTTCATTTCTTTCCTAACAAGTTTTATTTTACTCTTTCACGATAAACAATAAGAATTAATAAATCTCTTCAACTTTTTACTTGTTCACAATTAATCGATTAAACTGTAATCCTTCATGAAACTAGGTTGGCAAGAAAGTTTGTAGAAAAAGTTTGCACGATGATTTCTCAAAAACCAAGCCATGAATTCTAACCAGATTTTTTGAGAAACTTGACTATATTTCAAAAAGTTCTTGACAAAAAATCAGAAATTTCTTCAGTTGAAGTGACTTGGTCACTTTGAGTCACTTGAGTGACCAGCCTTTAGACATGTTTTCAAATGGTTAATGAATAGGCAATGGCTCACATTTAAAACCGAAAATCAAGTACTTGAAATAGGGAAAATTTGTGATAAAGGCAAATTTTATCTAATGCTGAGAAGGCAAAAAGGGATTGAGGGAAGAAACGTCTCAAAATGGGCAAAAAGATTCACAAACAAAAAGCGATTTATAAAAATAAGAGCACTGTGGAAAGGATGGCTCAAAATTGACATTTTTTGGGTACCCTTTTTTGGGGACGTCTCAATAAAGAAATGCTAGGAATTTGGCTTAGTTTCAAATCAAAATAGCTATGGCCAATGCCTAGGATTTCCATTTTTGGATCAGACACACACATTGGGGCTAGGCCAAAAAAAAAAGGAGTAGGGGGAAACGGGAGGGTTAAGAAAAGAAAAAGGTAAATAATGTGACTGGATTATTAGATATATGAAAAATAGGTACTTGTCGGTTATAAACCCAAAAACAAGTCAAATTAGCATCATTATGTGTTCAAGGGTTAAAGATGTTCAAGGAATACTTCTAGACTAACTTACAATAGACATAACTAAACTTGAGCTACGTAAAACAGTAGTTTGATCTTAATTTAGTTGGTCAATAAGCCTTGTGGGGGTATAGTCGACAAGTGCCGAAAAAGATACAAAAGGTTACCGGCATTTTGGGATGGTTGAGAGCAGTTCACAGAGGAGAAAACAAAAAGAAACGAAAAAATTGGAGCGATAACATCTCGAAGGAATCATAAAAGATAAAGAGAAAGGGAAAAGCTTTGGTTGATTTGTAAAGTAACGTAAAAATATATACGGTGCCCGTTAAATCATGTGGAATCCAAGTTACTAATACAGTTTAAACCCAAGTGTATGCAATGCTCGAGTATTACTGTATGATCAACTAATAACTCTCCTGCTATTTCGCGAAAAGAAAGCCTTTTGTTGATTTGAAAACTTGGTACTATCCAGCCAGACTGGCCTCTCACTTTGTCTTCGAAGATTCATCCCCAGAACAGAATTTAACAAACCAGTTTGCACATCTCCTTAGTGGAGCTGATTCTTCCGCATCACATTCTCAATATAAGCTCAACACTCAACTAAATGACTGAATGAATGAACGAGCTAGAATTCATTCACTCAACTAAATTCATTTAGAAACAATCGACAATGTTCTTATTCCAAATTAGTAACGAAGTGGATGAAAAGAATTGCTTGGATTTCATTCCGATGCTTTCGAACCTATTTTCCTATAACCTATTTTCCACAAACTCCTCTTCCTCATGTTTGTTTACGGGGTAGGCTACTTTGCGCCAAATTTTTTGCGCAACTCGCCATAACTTTCTTCTAAGTCGGCTAATCTTTATGATTTTGGTTTCATTTTGTTGCACTTATTGAGATCTGCAAAATGAAACCAACATCATAAAGATTGAAGACTTAGAAGAAAGTTATGGCGAGTTGCGCAAAAAATTTGGCGCAAAGTAGCCTACCCCTTGTTTACATCTCTTGGATTTAATTTGAAAAAAACATGCTAAATCATATCCACCAACCCAATAAGTTTAATGCTGTTTGATTTCTTCTTTCTTTTCACGCAAAAATCCAAAATTTAGTCGATTTAGTCCAAGATGATCTAGAGAATTCTCTTTTCAACTTTATTTCAGGTCCTGAATAAAGTATTTATATTTATATATGTCGTAGCCGATTATGAATGAAATTTTTTGGCAAATCTTTCTAGTAGAGCAACCCTTTAATGTATGAGGACAATATTATATCATCTTGTAGCGAATTCAATTCTGCGTCGATTGGTACCAAATTTGTGAGTTTAGGTTAAAAATTGCCGGCGCTACAACTTTTCATTCAAAATCGGCGGGACCCCCGTAGCCGATTATGAATTTCAGCCGATTATGAATGAGTGGGTTTAGGCGGGTCCAACCATCAAGTTTTTGGTATCATTCAACGCAGAATCATTGATAATTATGTTAAATTTTTAAAATTAGCAAGATTTGATAAAAAGAAAAAAAATTAGAGCAAAAAAGCTGTTTGTTCAAGAGAAAACTTTGAAGCCCCAAAATTTTTTTTTTCTTTTTATCCAATCTTTCGAATCTTAAAAATTTAACATAATTATTAATGATTCTGTGTTGAATGATACCAAATACTTGATGGTTGGACGCTCTTAGACCCAGTTATTCATAATCGGCTACGACATATATATTCGTACTAATTTTCGGTTTTTATTTAAATACTATAAATTATGATTTGTTTTCTTTAAAAACTTTTGAGAAAACAAACTATTTTAAAAGATATTTGCTTAAAATTTGATTAAAATAAACCTTGAAGATCTGAATGAATCAAATGGAATGGAAATCGAATGGACCCTTTTCCAATAAGAAGTGCCAGAATTTGGAATCGATTCCCCAGAGTTTTGAGAGAGTCCAATAGTCTTGAAACCTTTAAATTATCTGTAGATGATCTTGAAGCTCTAGTGGATTCTTGACGTTATCTGTGCTACCCATTTTATTACATATATTATATCGTGTTGCTTTTTACCGGTCCTTTTCGTGTTATGTGTATGAATTCATGTGTATTAATCCTTAAATCTAATGTACTTTATTTCAGATTCTGAAATTGTTTAGCTGGCAGCTCTGGAGAAGCTCTAAATGCTTTAGAGAAGCTCTAAATGCTCTAGAGAATTTTCTTTTCAACTTTATTTCAGGTTCTGAATAAAGTATCTATATGTAACGTAATTGTTTCTTAGGAATTCATGTAAATTGATTTGAAGATAGTGTTTAAATTCAGATTTATCATTCATTCATTTAAATTTGAGTAGAATTAATTTCTTCTTCAGTCTTTACAATTTTACTTTTCTTTTGTTCAATAAGTTTATTGTGTGCCATTTTGTCAATTAAACATGTGTTCGTTGTCACTTTTTCATGCTTAAATGTATAACGTATTGATATAAAAGGCATTTTGAATGGTTGAACAGTCCCAAATAATAGTTTTGAACCATTTTTTTGGTCTTAATTGTTTCTATCTTTAGAATTTTTCGGATTTTATTACAAGCAAACTCAAGCGATTCTTTTTATTGAATGAAAAATCAAAGGCAGTAGACGTTTTCAATATGTACATCCTCTTTCAAAGTATGGCAAAATATCGACACCATAATATGTCATGTGATCCCAGAAAATGATATTGTTGATGGGAACACCCTCCGAACATTTCCTGAAACATTATATCAAAAACTCAGACTTAAAAAGCTTTAGTCTAATAAAGCTAACTTGTCCTCATTTCCATTGCAAGTAATGTACGGCATGCCGACAGTCATATTGTTTTGATAGTAGATCTATGGAGTTGAAAATGAAATCTACTAAAGCAGTAAAGAAGTACCTCGGTTTTATGATGTTGATAGTTTTCTACAGTGAACGGAAGATGGGGAACCCAGTCGTGATTGTGCACTACTCGGTAGGAATATGGCAGCGAAAAAATATAAGTTTAAAACAGTTAGGCAGTTGGACAAGCGAGTCCTTTTATGGTTTTATTTTACAAAAGATGATCGGCGCCGGGATTTGAACCCGCGATCTCTCTTTTATCGGGCGAACACTCTACCAATGAGCTACAACGACAAGCATCCCATTGCCGCCAGGGTAGGGCTTTATGCTTTACTGAGCATCAGTTAAGCAGTTGGACACGCGAGTTCTTTTATGGTTTTATTTTACAAAATATGATCGGCGCCGGGATTTGAACCCGCGATCTCTCTTTTGTCGGGCGAAAGCTCTACCAATGAGCTACCACGACAAGCGTCCCATTGCCACCATGGTAGGGCTTTATGCTTTACTGAGCATCAGTTAGATTTCAAGATTAGAACAATTCCATTCAACTAATCGTTTTTTAACTGATCAAAAAACGAACAGTGTCCATAAAGGCAGCGTATGTCGAGTCTCCGGTTCTCGGCTGTCCAAAAGTGACCAACTTAATCTAAAAAGAATTGTGATAGCATATGTTTATGTAGCTTCTAGCGTCGTTTCTACTTTAAGAACCCAACCTTCTCTATCGGCACTAATCCCAACTGTGCCAAGTAGCCGGCTGACAAGCTCGCCATCGCTGCACCAAGGGAGTGTCCAGTCACCTAAAAATCTGATTTGAATCTAGATTTTATTTCAATAGTTGTCATTGCATCATTGTCTTATCTGAACTCACCCAAACATCATAGTCAGGATACTGTTGTCTCAACGTAAAGAAATCGTCCTTGACTCCGTTGTTCCATAGCTTTAGCATAGCGTTATAGAAGAAATCGGCCACTTTACCTCCACCAGGGAAGATTAACTGAATTCATGAAAGGTTTTGAAAAGTTCTTAGTGATAGAAATTTCAAATTGAATACCTGCTTCCCAAAAAGGATATCAAGCATTTCCATTGGCACTTCGAGGTTGACTTGGGAGCCACTGGAAAGGAAAAGCTTTTAGAAAAATGCTTGGAATACAGGGTGCGGCATAAGTATGGTTACAAGGTTGTAACATTGATTTAAGAAACTGATTGATTTTTATTCCCTGCGGGCCGCCGTGAAAAGTCATCCAAAGCGTCTTAAAGCCGTTATCAAGAATAAAGGTGCCCATATTGAATCATTTGTTGTTTTGTTATTTTTAAAATATATTAATTGTTATTTTTTAAATGAATATGATTACTGTTGTTAATTTTAAATAAAGTTTACGTGAATCCGTTCATATTTCATTACGATACACGGCTCTGAGTCTATAACCATACTTATGCCGCACCCTGTAGCTCATCAAATATTGGGTTGGGGAGAATGAGTCGGCGCCGAAATTTAAAGAAACTTTTTACACCCATAAAACCTTCTTTAAATACACGTTTTGTTTCATCAAAATGGTCCACTATTTCTTTACAAAATGGCTTTTGAGAGATTCCACAAAGCTTTTCTTTTTTGGGATTTTATGGATTCCCAAACAAAGCTAATCAAAATGACAAAAAGTCCGACTCATTGCTTGAACAGTTTCTTCCACATAAACCTCCTTTGGTGTTTATATAAAAAAAGATAGAGCACACTCAATTACATAAGTTACCAAATTTTCAGGAAGATCCCTCCAACCGTTTACTCTAGATGACAGTTTATCGATTTTGTGAAAAAATGATCCTTTGTTGAGTTGAGGCGCTGTTTGAGTTCTCTTTTAAATATTATTTTGTAGAGAATTAGTTACCCTTCTACGGATATCAAGCGCATATCATTTGACAAAATCTGCTATAAGTTTTAGAAATTTCTTTGATTTTCGGCGCCGACTCATTCTCCCCAACCCAATAGCTCTAAACTATATCCAGCTTTTTTTAAAAACTCAGCTCATAATCAAGGAGAAAAAGGTTAAAAAGTTATTTTGCTATGCCTTTAACAAGTACCAAAGTTGGCAAAATTGAATAGTTTCCAATAATCTATTGAATTCGTTATTTTCAGGGTCGGTTTATTACAGTAAACTTGAATTATTTCTAATAAAACTCCAAAAAAGAATTCCTACCGCCATGCCAAAATAAGAGCTTTCTTTGAATCGGATGAGGCTGTGTAAGCAGAACAAGTTTCATTCAGAATATCACAGGAAACATCGATTTTTCTTTTCAACTGAATGAATAATGGTATTGGCTTTCTTCAAGCAAAATTCTTTACATTTCTTAGCGGTTTAAGTTCAAGCGAAAAATGCTGGAAAGATTTACAAAAAATTTAAAGAGAACAAGACTAATGATCATCAAAAATCAAAGCTTCTCACTTTTCCATCACCGGTTCCACTCGTGATGCACTCTTGCTGATTTGTTATGTAAGCTCCAGCTGCTAATGGCCACATTGTCTAATATTTTGAATTTCCTCAGAATTTCTCAGAATTCCCTTGAAACAATAACGCTAAAAAAGCTCACATTTCTCACAAAATCATCAGAATATTGTGCAGTAATCGTGGCTAACAGAAAAGATAAAATACTTAAAGCTGAAAATAACATGGTCGATTTGGGAAAGGTTTTGAAAATCTTGTCGCCAAATAAAATGAACTGTAGTGGACTACACGTTTTTACAGAGTCATAAAGTTTATCAGTTTTTTTCGGGGAACTACTCAATACTTGATCGCAAGTTCAAGAGACAATCTGGTTGGAAGTGGGAAAAGAAATGCTTGAAGAATAGATTCTATTTTGATGGACTCGATGCTGTAACTTGTGCGGATTTTGGGGTAGGCTACTTTGCGCCAAACTTTTTGCGCAACTGGATCATTTGCGCAACTGGGTCGTTTGCGCAACTCGCCATAACTTTCTTCTAAGTGGGTAGATCTAAGTCATTTTGTAGATCTCAATAAGTGCAACTGGAATGGAATGGCTTTTTGAACAAATTTGTCCGTCTGTGCGTAGCCATTGGCATAAAGGGGCGGGACTTAGATTGCGTGGAAAACGCGAACGTTAGTGAGTTTTTTTTTTTTTTTTTTTCTTTTTTTTTTTTTTTCTTTTTTTTTTTCCTTTTTTTTCTTTTTTTTTTTTTTTTCTCTTTTCTTTTCCGCTCGTTTAAAATAATTTGTTTTTCTTTTAGCTTAGCATTGGCAACCATGGTAAATTCTAGTTCTGACAGTTTTTGCTTTCATCGGATTGACATTCTTTTGTTTTAAAGATACAGTTTTAATTGCTTGAGATGTTTGTAATATTTCTTAGCATAAAATGTTTATTCCAAATCATAAAATAAACTCGCGCTTTTCTCTCACACAGACACATTTCGCACCCAAATAGAAATAGAAAAAATGGGGAAGGCAAAAAAGGGATTGAGGGAAGAAACGTCTCAAAATGGGCAAAAAGATTCACAAATAAAAAGAGATTTATAAAAATAAGAGCACTGTGGAAAGGATGGCTCAAAAATGACATTTTTTTGGGTACCCTTTTTGGGGACGTCTCAATAAAGAAATGATAGGAATTTGGCTTAGTTTCAAATCAAAATAGCTATTGCCAATGCCTAGGATTTCCATTTTTGGATCAGACACACGCATTGGGGCTAGGCCAAAAAAAAGGAGTAGGGGGAAACGGGAGGGTTAAGAAAAGAAAAAGGTAAATAATGTGACTGGATTATTAGATATATGAAAAATAGGTACTTGTCGGTTATAACCCCAAAAACAAGTCAAATTAGCATCATTATGTGTTCAAAGGTTAAAGATGTTCAACGAATACTTTTAGACTAACTTACAATAGACATAGCTAAACTTGAGCTACGTAAAACAGTAGTTTGATGCTGTTGGTCAATAAGCCTTGTGGGGGTATAGTTGACAAGTACCGAAAAATATACAAAAGATTACCGGCATTTTTGGGATGGTTGAGAGCAGTTCACAGAGGAGAAAACAAAAAAGAAACGAAAAAAAATTGGAGCGATGACATCTCGAAGGAATCATAAAAGATAAAGAGAAAGGGAAAAGGTTTGGGTGATTTGTAAAGTAACGGATTTGCTTGAATAAAGCTATTTAGAAATTTAAGCGTTAAAAACTGATCAATCCGATAGTTTACAAGGACTAATTTGAATCGAATCAAGGCTGGCTTTTTGAACAAATTTGATAGATAAGTTTTGGTTGATAAAATGGTAAAATTTTAAACCTTTTAAAAACCCATTTTAGAAAGAGGAAGTAGACGGGAAGTGAATTTCAAAAAAGAGTGGGAAGAAGAGCGAATTTCGAAGGGATTTCAAAAGGATCCTCACCTGCGGCAAAACAAAATTTTTCAATTTAGGGACACGTATCGGACGGGAGACATGGCGGTGAGCAAAGGGAAAATGACGGTGTTTTGAACTGAAGGACAAATGGGGAAAAGTGGGAAGATGAGAAAATGAGAGGAAGAGATTTGCTTAATGGTCGCTTAGGTTTGAGCTTTTGGATTCATATTGGAAATCTATAAAGTCTCAGCTTCTGCAAGGTTGAACACAATAGCATTTTAAATCAATATTCGGGCTTGTTGGCTAACCAGAGCCAAGGGAAAAGTTCTCTGGCCTCTCTGATCTTTATGACGGTGCCTTTGATCTTTCCAGCAAAACAGGTCCATGGTTTTGGAGCGTACTTTTCCTTGGAAAGTTTTACCGGAAACTTTCTGGAAGAAAAGTACCATCCGCGGGAAAACTATGAACGTTCTACTGAAAAGATCAAAGGTGCAGACGTAAAGATCAGAGACACTGCTGGAACTTTTCCCAGAGCTGCTAGAATTCCTGGAGCGTAGCATACGGACTCAGCAACCGCAATGCCTTATCAAAAACACAGTTAACCTCTTGACCAATAAACAAATTCATAAAAAGACTCAAAGTAAAGAATATTTGGTGATTTGAGTCGGAGGAGAAGAAGCAATAACAACAAACGATAACAAAAAAAGGAAGGGAGCTGTCTCTCAACCATTGGGGAGAATGGGCTACCTAAAGAAATTGAAAATGACTAAAACTGGTTTCAAAACACTTATGAATCATAGAAAATTATAGAAAATTATAGAAAATTGAATTTCAATGAGTCTTGAAACCAGTGGAGGTGAAAGGAATAGATAGGAGTTTAAAATCAGCTCGCAAATCTCAAATTGACATTCTTTTTTTCTTAGCAATTAACATTTGAATGATTTCAAAAGGATTTTAAAATAAAATTTCATTGATGATCTTGTGAAACTGTTTTAAACTCCAGATCTAGTGAGGACTTAGAATTTTTCTTTCAAAAAGGGCACCAGGAATCACACTCGCACACAAACAACAGACGCGCGCGAAAAGAGCAAAGCCGATTACAAGAAAATACAACTACGAATCGATAAAAAGAGAACGAAAACTGTTTTAGATGTAAATTCAATTCAATTTAAGCATTCTGTATTCATTCTCAATTGTCATTCTCTTAGGTTATCGGATATTTGATACGCCTAACTTTAAGCTCAAATATCTTTATGTTGGGCTATTGAATTGAAATATTCTTGGTATCATCAGATGTGCCAAGTCTTTCTCTTTCGATTGGTACAAGAATTATTTCAATTGGACAGCTCAACACTGAGGTTTTTGAGCTTAAAGTTAGGTTGACAATGGGAAAGGGAACGGGGCGCGTATAAAAGGCCCGTCACTCCGCCCCTTTTGCCATTGGCAAACTTTGGGCTCATATCTTTTATTTATATATTGGACAACTCAGCACTAAGATATTTCAGCCTAAAGTTAGATTGTCAATGGGAAAGGAGGCGGGGCAAATGTCCCAATCTTCTCAGAATCATTACATTACTGGATAAAGGATAAGGATCTAATAGGCTTACCCTGAAAAATAGATTGAAAAATGGGTAGATTGGATTGATAGACTACGGGATATTGGTGACAAAAGTGTAATGAATTTGATGAATAGATTAGAAGTTCCATTCGGTTGGCGGTTGTTGACTGAAGCCTTCTCCAGCTGTGCCCGGTTGTGGCTCCTCTTCATCAGCACTGAAATTTCGAGTTTAGATTTGCTATAAAACTTTCAAATTTGATTGGTGAAAGAAAGATTAAGCTTTAAGTTAAGCTTTAATTTCTATAGATCAATTCAGTTCACTTACTCACTTATATTTTAAACAAATAATTGCTATAAAATCTCTTTCCTTTCCAACCTGAAATAGTGATCGATGATCTTCACAATTTTCACAAAACTTGCATTTTAAGCGAAACTACTAAGTGTATCTTTTTGGAAATTTGGCTATAAGCCTAATTTTTGATTCTCTACAACTTTTCTATTGACACCAAAATGGGTTTCTTTTGAAGAAAGTGCTCAAACTGGGAGATCTCCAGTCCTCCATTTTTGAGTCTCACACTTGTCTCACACACAAACCAAAATCCTACTACGAAAAAGGAACCCGCAAATTGCCTGTAAAATGGGCAGAAGTCTTCAATAATAATGGAAATTATTTGGAATGAATTCATGGTTTTATGTTGAATAAATTTTAGTTCAAAGTCCGGCAGTTTTCAGTTCACCAACCCAATACTTTCTCAGATTCTTTACCAACAGAACTCAATGTTTAGCGGTTCAATGTTCATGTTCCAATCAGCAATGAGATGGCTAGCGGTTTGGTTAGATCTTCTCGTTGTTGCAATCACTTTCGTTGTTGCTTTATGCATTGTTTTACTTACCGGAAAAGTTTCTCCAGCAGATGCTGGAATCACTTTTGCTATTCAAGTAAGAGAAGTTATTGAAAGCATTTCTGCAATTAATGCAAAACTTTGCCGTAATTCTAGACTGATTTCTTTGACTTTATTCTGAAGAAAGTGCTTAAACTGGGACATCTCCAGTCCTCCATTTTTGAGTCTCACACTTGTCTCACACACAAACCAAAATCCTACTACGAAAGAGGAATCCGCAAATTGCCTGTAAAATGGGCAGAAGTCGTCAATAATAATGGAAATTATATGGAATGAATTGATGGTTTTATGTTCAATAAATTTTAGTTCAAAGTCCCCGCAGTTTTCAATTCACCAACCTAATAAATTTTTGAATTGAATAGAGGTTTTATTTGACAATAAGAATGGTTATTGATTAAGAGCTGGCAAGGAATGATGAGAAAGTGTTTAGATGTTCTTAACTAGGAAGAAATTGAACTACTCTTCTTACTTAAGCTCTTGTTACAGTTTTCAATTCAGTTTTCAATTCACCAACCCAATAATTGTTGTAAAATCAGTTTCCTTTCCCACCTGAAATAATGATCGATGATCTCATAAGCGATTTTGTAAATCTCTTCATTCTCATGATTTTGCAATTGCTCGATTTTATCCAATCCACCGCATTCTTCAATCATTGTGCAAATTCCCAAATGATCATCACCAGCCATCTTCAAAATGTTTTGCAATCCATCAAGAACAACCTGAAAAATAATTAATCAATTTTTTAAATCAAAATTTTAATCTAAATTAACCAAGTAATCAATTTGTCTCCTTAAAATCAATCATAAAAACTAACATTGATAATTTGAGTATCTTTGATTTCCAGTAATCTGCACATTGGTGGTACGACTCCCATTTGAACCATTGAGGCTACCTAAAAGTTCCGATTTTAATTACTTCTAAAGTTTGCACTCACTTGTTGTGGATTTCCAGAGATTGTGACATTTGATAAAGCCCAAGCTGATTCTTTCTGCGTTTGAAAGTCTCCTTCGGAGAGTAATTCGATGAGAATTGGGAGTAGTCCAGCGTCAATAACCATTTGAACTTGTTGAACATTTCCAGCAGTGATATTCGACAAGAACCATGCGGCTTCCTGAAATTCAAATTAGAATCGGTTCTTGGAAAGTTTTCAAAACAAAGCCAGTCAGCCATCAGCTTTAAGCCAGCCAGCCATCAGCTTTAAGCCAGCCAGCCATCAGCTTTAAGCCAGCCAGCCATCAGCTTCAAGCCAGTCAGCCATCAGCTTTAAGCCAGCCAGCCATCAGCTTTAAGTCAGCCAGCCATCAGCTTTAAGCCAGCCAGCCATCAGCTTTAAGCCAGTCAGCCATCAGCTTCAAGCCAGTCAGCCATCAGCTTTAAACCATTAAGCCAGGCAATTGTTATTTTTAAAATCACCTTATTAATCTTGTCCTTCGGGTGATGAAGCAAGGTGCCCATATGATTCAAGACACCACAGTCAAGAACGAGTTGTGTTTGGTCATCAGTTCCAGTGACAATATTTCCGACAGCACGAAGAGCCGCAGTTTGAACCTAGATATCGAATTATAAACCGAAAAAAGCTCTATTACTTTGACATCAGAGTGAGACAAGAGAGGGATAACTGTTGGGACAATATTGCTCTCAATGACCATTTGAATTTGCTCATTTCCTCCATCAGTTAAATAGGAAATGGCCCAAACAGTGTCAACGAGGATGTGGGTGTCTTCATGGTGAACGAGGAGAGCAAGAGCTGGTAGGAGAACGGCCACCAATTCGGGAGATGGAGGTGGGTGCTGGAATTAGGGAATTAAAGAGCTTTAGATTATATAAAGCTTGTCTTAAAGTCGATATCCAAAGTGATCAGACTCCAATATGCCCAAGATTTCTTACCTTGCTTCTGCACAAGTTGACCAACACCCAGGTGACATTTCTCAAGAAACCGATCGGCGTTTCTGGACGAATGAAGGAAAGAAGTGGCGGAACCAGGCCAAGTTGGATACAATAATCTCTGTAATGAGGCCCATCACCTGAAATTTTATATTAAAGTCAGAATTGTTGAAAAGGAAGCTAAATTTTGAATTAAACAATTACCAATGATATTTCCGAGAGCCCAAACCGCTTGCTCACAAACATTCACATTTTCCGATGTGAGAAGTTCAAGGAAAAGTGGGATCGCTCCAGCATCAACCTAAAGAAATTTTCTTGTTGAATTTTCAACTTTTAGTAAGATCTGCTAAGCCATATTTGAGTAATATTTGGATAAGAACTCTTTAGAGATGAATTGATAGAGAAAGTTTTGAACTAGCACACTTACCACAGCAGCAGTTTGTTCCGAAGTCCCTGACGCAATGTTAGTTAAAGCCCAAGCTGCCTCGAATTGGATGTTAACGCTGAAATTTTTCGTTTTCGTGAAACAGCTGAAAAACCCTCCTAACAGCTGGTTTCTCTGTCTATGCCTGTCGCCGTGGCGCAGTCGGGAGCGCGCTTGTCTACGACCTGGGTTCAACCCCTATAAGACTTGGGTTCGACCACCCGTAGTGGCACTCAATCTTGCCCTTTTAATTGTTTGTTTTATGACACAACTATAATATATTCTGAGGTTTTTTAAAGAAGTTTTAGCTTTATTAGACGGCGGAGAAAACGCCTGTACAAACAGATGGACAGACAGACACTGCTCTTTTATATACAGTAGATTGCTGAGCTTACTTGAATCCCTTTTCCAAGCACTTTACAAGAACTGGAAGTACTCCGCTAGCGATCAATTGGTCGACGGGTGGGTTTCGCTCAGTGGATAGCATTTTGCGGATCTGAAAAGAGTTGCATTGGCTTTTGGCACCTGAGTTAAGCTTTCAATAACTAATCAATCATTCAATTTTCAAAACTTGCTTGTTGCACAGCTTCTTGCAGATTAGTTGACGCCAATTCTTTTGCCGCCTCATCGGGAGCATTCACCAAGGCGTTGAAGAGAGCGTGCAACTGGGCGATGTCGAAATTTGCGAAACTGCTGGTTGTGGTGGTTGGAGCCGCTACCGTTGAGCCTCCAGCACCTTCTTCTCCACTGAAAATTGATTGATTAACTTGAAAAAATAGACTAGTTAATAGTTACTTCTAAGTTTATTCCCAATCACTTACTCATTTAAATTCCTTCTCTTGCTGAGTAAATCCTCTCGTTTATCTTTTCTGATTGTGACGACTTCATCAGCGCGACTTTTCCGAAGCGCTTCTTGATCTTTTCCTGCATTTTTGAATTGCGAGGAAAAGCGTGACTCTCCTGAGGCCATTCCTGTAATATTGAACAATTATAAAAAAAAGATAAACATCAAGATATTGACTGTAAGAATAAAATTGGCACTTTCGAAATATAGATGAAACAGACTACTTTGTCGATTTGGAATTGTTAGTTTTAAACATTCAGAAATCGTTACCTAGTTAAAAAATGGTTAAAGGAATAGTAAAACGTGAGTTAGATTGAATATTATGAGAAAATAAACTATTTTGAAATCCTAACACTTTCAACAAAGGAAACCTTATCTAAAACTAAAGCTATTGGACCGTGATAAGTGAATCGTACAAGATAAAAATCATTATAAGCTTATGAAACGTTTAACGAAACAAATGGCACATAGTTATTACAAAAAATGAATAAAAAATGTAAAAAAGGGACGCAACGAAACGTTACCCATTTCGAGAACTATGACCGAAGAGACGCGGTTGCTAGACGCGACGCGTATGAAAGCTAAAAACGAGATAGAAAAAGATGGGGGAAAAAAGAGAATGAGAGAAATGAGAGACATCAGCTGTTTCCCTTCAAGGTTACTAGCTTTTATCGACCTTTAGAGGTCGTCATTTGGATAGTCTCGTTGTGGAGAGTTTTAAGGTTGAACTGGCCATGTGAGCTTTTCAGATCAATCTTTTTGATAACGTCGAAATTTTTGAGTAAACAAGTCATAAGCTTTTCAGAAAGTCTTTTTTTTGTCCTTCTGTTTAAAACCAACAAATTAATCAATTAAACTACTGTTTATTTGGGTACTACTTTGCCCCAAATTTTTTGCGCCACTGGGTCGTTTGCGCAAGTCGTCATAACTTTCTTCTAAGTCGGCCAATCTTTATGATTTTAGTTTCATTTTGTAGATCTCAATAAGTGTAACAAAATGAAACCAAAAGCATAAAGATTGGCTGACTTAGAAGAGAGTTATGGCGAGTTGCGCAAACGACCCTGTTGCGCAAAAAGTTTGGCGCAAAGTCGTCGCCCTCGTTTATTTGATTAAAAAGCTAATTATTTTTCTACATAAAAGTTACCGTAAATACTGTAATAGTACTCCACCCCCCTCGTACAGTCGCGTAATTGCAAAAGTTTTTTACTATTTCATTTTTTTCAAAGCGTCCGTACTTCCAAAAAATGGGTCTTTGGTATCAAAAAATAGCTGAAATTCAGGGCTATTGTTTGATACTTAAGCGCGCATTGTATCTTAAACCAGTGTCGAGAAAAACTCGTTCAAAGCTAGACTACGCAACACTCCGCACCGGCATTATGAGGGTGAGGTACTATTACAGTATTTACGATAGGTACACTAGTGGACAATGAAATATCATATTTGGAAAACGATCGTCACTTTCGCGCGTCTCTAACGCCCTTGTCTTTGAGTTTAAACTATTAGTGTTATACATTTTCTGAAAGCTCTTTTCAAGGGCTACACAATGGTAATATTAATATTTAGAAATACGGTAAAGACAAGGGAGTTACAGACGCGCGAAAGTGACGATCGTTTTTCAAATATGATATTTCATTGTCCAGTATATAGCTAAATTTTCAGAGAAATTCATTCAGCCAATTTCTTCGCAAAGGCTTTTAAAAGCTTTTTAATAAGAAAAAAACGAAAAGACTTTCTGAAAAGCCTAATATTTTTGATTTAGATCCGTTTTAAGCTCAATAAAGTTTAGTTGATGAACTCGGCTGATGAGCTTCGTGCTCTAGGAAACAAATATTATAGACAAGGAAGATATTTGGAAGCGATAGAAGCATATTCGAAAGTTTGTTTAAGAAATGTTATTGATTAAAATCAATAGGGAATTTTCAAATTCAGGCAATTGAAAGAAACCCGGGCATTCCACAATTCTATACAAATCGAGCATTATGTTATAACTCGGTAAGAAAAATCATGCTTTATGACAGAAAAACTTATTTAGTTACGCGCTTGGGACAAAGCGATTCACGATTGTAAGCGAGCCATTGAATTGGACAGTTCTGTAGTAAAGGTCTAAGATTTATTTGGAAGAATTTTAAAATCAATTCAGGCTTTCTACTTCTGGGGACAAGCGGCTGTTCAACTAAGTCTATTCGATGAGGCGATCAAAGTGTTAACAAGAGCTCATGATCTCGCGCAATCACAACAATTGGTGAGAAGGGTTTAAAACAATTTTCTTGGCGCAAGCTGGAAGTAAGGGCTTGCTCTTCTGGCTCTAGCTTCTGGCGTTGTTTGGCCTAGCCAAACCAAGTTCTAGATCCTTCAAAGACCAGACCTAGTCCTGACCCAGTTTTAGCCAATTACTGTACTAGATTTAACTACCGTAAATACTGTAATAGTCCCCCACTCCCCTCGTACAGTCGCGTAGTCGCAAAAGTTTTTTAGTATTTCATTTTTTTCAAAGCGCCCGTTCTTTCAAAAAATGCGTTTTGGTATCAAAAAATAGCCCTGAATTTCAGCTATTTTTTGATACCTAAGCGCGCATTGTAGCATAGACCAGTGTCGAGAAAAACTCGTTCAAAGCTAGACTACACAACACTCCGCATCGTCATTACGGGGGTGGGGTACTATTACAGTATTTACGGTAGTTATTCTTTAGAATTTTGGTGACGATATAACGCGAGCAATTCGAGAAGCAAGTCGCTCAAAGTTTAAGCTAGAAGAGAAGAATCGACAACGAGAAGAGAACGAGCTGGAGGTTTATTTGATAAAGTGAGTTTTAAATGTGGTAAAAAGGTTTATTGATATTAAATTCTAATAGTTATCCCAATTTTAGCCTTATCGAGCAGGATCTCGAGCGAAAACTTGAGCGTTTGGAGCTGAAAGAGCAAAAGGAAAACCAAGTGATTCGAGAAGATGACAATGAAGAGGAAATCCCTGTGAAATCTATTGAAGATACTCAAGAATTGAGGAATGAATCACAAAAGAGAAAAGATCTTTTGCACAATTTGTTTTCACAGGTAAATTGAATAATTCAATTGAAATATTGAATTGAAATTGAAAAAGCGATTGTCAAATTTCAGATTGATGATGAGAGAAATGAGCGAGATTTCCCTGATTATCTGTGCGGGAAGATTTCACTCGAGATTTTGAAAGATCCAGTGATCACTCCATCAGGTGGAGTTAATATTTCTGTTCTTTTAAGTTTGACACTTGATTGCTTGAGTGTTAAAACAAAAAAGGATAACAGCTTTTTCTTTTTAACACCCAAGTAATCAAGCGTCAAACTTAAAAGAACTGAATCTCTATAACATCTCTATAACAGAACTAGATAGCGGAAAACTATATAACTGAATGAAATTTTGGTCCCAGTTGACGCTAAGCTATATAAAACGGCACTCTATATAACGGAAAGCTCTATATACCGTATTTTCTCTAATAGTAGTGCACCCCAGTTGATGACTACTTTACGGTTTCCAAGCTTTTGCAGAAGCTCAACACTCTAATCCCCCACTAGATCTCATCGTCAGCTACATTTTCCGACCGCACATCGATAGGTTCTGATAAGCGCTTTTTGAGATTTCGAGGATTTTAGGCGAAGCTCAGGCTTAGGCTCAGGCTTAGATTCAAGCTTAGGCGCAGGCTTAGGCTCAGGCTTAGATTCAGACCCAGGCAGAAGCTCAACACTCAAATCCCCCACTAGATCTCATCGTCAGCTACATTTTCCGACCCCACATCGATAGGTTCTGATAAGTGGTTCTCGAGATTTCGAGGAATTTAGGCGACGCTCAGGGTGCACTACTATTAGAGAAAATACGGTAATCATAATCAAATAGTATAATAGTTAATAGAAGTTTTAGCATTTTCTTATTATGAAATTTGTTGATCTTAAATAAGTAAAAGGAACTTGGCCTGAAAATTTGGTCCTAGAACTAGCCTTGGAGCCAAGATAAACCTTTGATCATTGCTTACATCAATCATAAACACTGTGTTAATAGGTTTATAAATGCTTTTGACTTATTTATGAATGATTTTTCAGGTATCACCTATGATCGAACGGATATCATCAAACATTTGAACCAAGTCGGCCATTTCGATCCAGTCAGCCGCATTCCACTCACAGAAAAAGATCTCATTCCGAATTTAGCCATGCGAGAGGTAAATCCATTCCAACTGATACTAATTGACTTTTTTTTAGGTTTTGGAGCATTTCTTAGCAACGAATGATTGGGCACGACATGAGCTTTAGACATGAACTCTTTCCACAAATATTTTCCATGATCTTTCCATTTTTGATTCACATTTTTGTACATAAAACAATCATTAAAGCCTATCCGGGTTCACTCTTTTTTTTCGTTTCGCTAGAAAGACAGTATTACGAATAAACTTTTCATATTTGTAAACGAAATTAATATCTAACCTAAGAACAAACAGCAAAAATATTAGAAACAACAAAAATATACAATGTACACTGCCTACAAGCTACAATTGACCTAGTTAAAACTAAAGAATGGAATCAGCTAATGTAATTCGATCTTTTTATCAATTACTTTAAAAGTTTTAGATATTTGTTCTAGATTTAAATGTTAATCTAACATTTTTTAAGGCTTAAGCTTTGACCGACGCCAAGTTTACTTCAGCCAGGCTTACCTCAGCCAGCTTTACCGTCGTTCATTCCACAATGGTCTTATCAAATGGAACTTTAATTTATGGTAAGTAAAAAGACACATAGAATGCTTTAATTGAAAAGATTTTAGTCTAATAAGTTCTTAAAAAAAACTATTGACAAAGTTTTAGTGACAAAGCTAGCACTACGGAACAACAACCTATTTATAAGGACACTCAAAAATAGTGCTTCATTGCGATGTGACGGATTCTCAAATGTAATTGGTCCAAAGAAGAGAAAACCATTGTTCAAGGTACTTTTTTTGAAAGTTTTTCAAAATCTAATCAAATTTTAGCTGGCTCGGAATCCAAAACGAATCATGACATACGAAAATGATAAAATTGACTTGAACAGTGCGCTGGCGGAGTATAATTTAAAGTAAAATAGTCAAGTTTCATTTAATTTATTGAATTTTAGAGAGACGGATTTGGTTGGTTTACCGTCAACTCCATCTCGTTTAAGACCGGCTACAAATGGATCGGATCCGTGTTCAGCTGCAACGACTGTTGCAGCGACTACTCTGTTGTATTCGCTCGATGATGTTTATCAAACGGCTTTAAAGGTACATTGGTAATTGTTAAAACTATTATCCAAATCAAGTCTAGCAACTAAGCCACCAGAATTTCTGTGATTCAAATACCAATATTAATTTTATAAACATGGTCTAACATAAACAATATTCCCAGTAAACAAATTTCTTTTAGAAGGGGATCCGAATTGAGATCGATTCTCGCTGTATTTGTATAAAAAAATACAAAAAAATTTACGACTGGGTATACGAGAAACGAAAAAGCTCACAAGTCTCAGCTCAAAGTTGAGAATCGACTCGAGCCAAAGGTGCATCTTATAGAATCGAACATGCTAGTTCCGAATCTGCAAAAATTAGCTACGGACTCGCACGCAAACTGGAGGAATTTGGAATAGATCTCAGGGCCTTCATGAGGGTGCCACAAGGGAACCTCGCAACATCTTCGGTGGTCTAGTGGATAGTAGGCCAGCGCGCCATAACCATCGACCCGGAAGCACCTTATATCAGAGCCACACGCCAGATGGAGACCAATTACACCGCCGTACAAAGAAGCCTCAAAACACTTTTACATTGAGATTTTTCTTTAGCATTGTAGATTGATTTCATCTTTTAATGAGAATCGGTCCTAATGCCCTTCCCGAAAGTTGTGGAACTGTGACTTAGCATCAATTTAGGTTCATGGCTCAAAAGAGGCTGTCAATGCACAACGAAGACCTCTAATCCCGATCGATAAAAAGCCGACCGAAGCTGAGCTAATGCGGACTAGAATGAGAGTGGAAGCTGTCGCAAAAGTAGGCAAATATAAACAATTTTTGAATACTTGCTTAGGAACATTCAACAAAAGGAGCGGATCGGGTTGTAGCAATTGCATTTACGCTCAACACATGTGATATGGTTTTCAAGGTATAAAGCTTTTAAATTTTCGATTTATGTGATCTTTACAGTATGCCGCTGCTTATCTAACTGGATCGAAATCACTTTTCGCTGAAGCTATTCACAGTACAATGGATACTTGCAATCAACTTATTTTGTTATTGGGGATACGTTACTCAAAAAGGCATCCGAATCCACAATTTCCTTACGGATATGGTAATTTCTAGAGTCAAAATGTAAAATACTTGTTTCAGGTAATATGCGTTATGTGACTTCATTAATTTCTGGTTGTGGAATTCTTGGATTTGGATGTGGGCTTTCTATTTATCATGGAATCTCCGGTCTTCTTCATCCATCAGCGCTTGAGCCGTTAACTTATGTAAGTGGTAAATAAAATACTATAATTTTAAGTGGTTTCAAGATAGATTTGAGAATCTATAGATTGTAGTTCTAAAAGATGAAAGAAGTTAGAATTTAAGGCTACAGGCAGGAGCAGGGAATAATGCAGGTTAAAGCCTGGTTTTTGACCAACCCAAGTTTATAATCCAGATTTACCATAAAGTCAAAAACCTGTAGGCAAGCTAAGCCAAGTAAGGCCGAAAGTCAGACTAAGACCTGGCTACTGGTCTGACCTTGACTTAAGTCCTTGCTCTGAAGTCTGAAGCAGATCAGGATCAGATATGGCAGATTAGAAGCAGATCAAATATGGCAAAAATATCTTCAGAACGACTCTGAATTGATCTCGTTCCTCTTAGCTTTGAGATATCCTATAGATCATGTTTCAGGCCTACTATGCCCTTGGGATGTCATTTTGTTTCCAAGGCGCTTCTGCTATTACCGCTTATAGAGAGGTGCGGCTAAAAGCCAACAAGGCAGGAACAACGATTTTGAATTACGGTGATTAAAAGTCTTAATCCCATCTAATCATTTTAAAGTTCGCACAGCAGCCGATCCTTCTCTAAACGTTGTGCTGCTAGAAGATACCGCTGCTGTTTCTGGGGTAAAATTTAAATTACAATTCTTCTCACACAATTTCTAGGTTATTATCGCATTGAGCGCTATCACATCATCTTGGTATTTTGAATCACCAATACCCGATGCTTTGGGTTCTGTCGTGATTGGCGGTCTGCTTGGTTATTTTTTTTGGATATTCTTTAAGTTTTAAATCTGATTTAGGTACTGTTGCTATGTTCATTATTCGAACAAATGCTCAACACCTTGTTGGGCGATCTCTTCCTCAACGAATCACGGAAGATATTGTTGCTCGATTGAACAACGATCCAGCGATTAGGTAAAGAGAAACAAAGAGTAAACAATAAACAAACAGAAAAACATTATTAATAGAGTGTGTTCCTCTCAAGTAATGGCTTTCTTCTATAATGCGCCGTTCAAAGTCGAAATCTCAAGATATTCATTGTTGTTAAATGAATATCTTGAGATTTAGCCTTTTAAGGGCTATCAAAGCCTCTAGACTCTAGCAAGATTTGCCTAAAATTGCTACCGTAAATACTGTAATAGTACCCCACCCCCATAATGACGGTGTGGAGTGTTGGGTAGTCTAGCTTTGAACGAGTTTTTCTCGTCACTGGTTTATGCTACAATGCGCGCTTTGGTATCAAAAAATAGCCCTGAATTTCAGCTATTTTTTGATACCAAAGACGCATTTTTTGAAAGTACGGGCGCTTTGAAAAATACTAAAAAACTTTTGCGACTAGCGACGACGCGACTGTACGAGGGGGGTGGGGTACTATTACAGTATTTACGGTAGGAGTATAACTTATTTAGATCTGTTCATGACGTAAAAGCAACAGCTCTTGGAGTCGAGCAATCTCGCTTCAAAGCTGAGCTCGATTTCGATGGACGAATGATCACAAGACGATACATTGATCAAGAAACCGACATTCATGATCTTTTCCAAGTAATTGGAAAGGTTTTTAGTAAATCTTGGATTCAATTTAGCAAGTGAAATCATTGGAATCAGAAGAGGAATTGCAAGAATGGATGGAGGATCACGGAGAGAAGATTATCGATCGATTGGGTGTTGAGATTGATCGAATCGAGAATGAGATTACAAGAAAGCATCCCGACATCCAACATGTCGACTTAGAAGCTCTTTAGTTTTGTGAGTTTACTAGTAATCAATTTATTAAACCTCATTTTAGATTAAGTGAAGTGTCAAAACGGAAATGCCAATGAGAAAATAACCGGTTTAGAATAGGTGATCGATTTCTGATATTGCCTATTCACTGTACGTAATTATAGAATTTCAATAAACTTTTTATATGTTTTCTATAATAATACAATACAAATTTTCTAAACACTACAATCAATCTTGTTCAAATTTGGCAATCAGTTAGCAGTTAATGAAAAAGAATAAATGAACTCTTGATCAATTATTTAAGTGAGTTGAATTTCAGCTGATGTTGAATATAATGCGGTTTTCCTAATGGCTTTTTCTATGCGGCTTTCCATCGATTATCATAACAAGCTTGAATTTAGCTTAATATAAACTATGAAAATAGTAATAAAATAACTAAAATGTAAGCTTGTGAATGAAAAATTTCAGTTTTCAGTGTTTACTTTTAAACCCAAAGACGGTGTTCATTATATTGGGTTGTCCAGTTATGAATGCGCGTTTTTTACTATTTTGTAAATTTCTCAAGATACCGAAATCAAGAAAAATATATATATGAGTATTATTCGAAAGCTGAAGATCTCCTCTACATTTTGATATAAAAAGTTTTTGAATTTGTTCAGCTTTTGGGCAAATTGATGGCACAGAAGAAGAGGTGGCCAAAAAATGGATGGGTGCCTTTGGAGCAAGTTTTGGCTCCGCTCAAATTGAGTTAACCGTTTGATGTTTGGCCAATAGATACATCAATACAACTTTTAAAAAAATATAACAATTTCAGAGCATCTTTACTTTTCTTTTCTGGGCGCTTACACCATAAAACTTGAGGAATAGCTAAGCTGAAATGAGTTTTTTTTCGGAAACGACCTCTCCCTTTGTGCAGTCAATTTCCCAAAAAGTTGAATGAATGCAAAAACTTTTTTGTGCTTCTGATTATATTGTGTCCGTTCATGGACCAATGCTTACTGTAAATACTGTAATAGTACCACATCCCCATAATGACGGTGCGGAGTGTTGCGTAGTCTAGCTTTGAACGAGTTTTTCTCGACACTGGTTTATGCTACAATAAAGGCTTAGTTATCAAAAAATAGCTGAAATTCAGGGCTATTTTTTGATACCAAAGATAATGACGGTGCGGAGTGTTGTGTAGTCTAGCTTTGACAGCGTTTTTCTCGACACTGGTTTATGCTACAATGCGCGCTTAGGTATCAAAAAATAGCCCTCAATTTCAGCTATTTTTTGATACCAAAGACGCATTTTTTGAAAGCACGGACGCTTCGAAAAAAATGAAATACTAAAAACCTTTTGCGATTACGCGACTGTACGAGGGGGTGGGGTACTATTACAGTATTTACGGTAGGTTTTTTTTTGATTAGTTGATGTCGTTTAAGAAAAAAGCTTTAAAGTCACAGAGCAAATGCGAGAAGTTGCTCAATGTCAGGGAAAGGTGTCAGCTCTTGAATGATTGATGACTAATTTGTAAAATCGATCAAATCATAAACATAAAACTTGACTGTAATTAGCATAAAGGTCAAGACTTGAATGTTACATGCTTTTTCACATTAGTTTATGACAATTTATTAGATTTCAATTATGATTTACAATTTAGGAGTGTAAATTTTGAACACACAAGATTATGTCTTTGAAATTTTCACTAAATTTTCGATTTCGACTATATTCTTATCAAAAAAAACCACATAAAAGTACCCCTATTTGATAATAGATTTACGAAAAAATGTACACAAAAATGTACAAAAAAAACGAGTGCTGAGCAGAAATGAATCGATTTTTAGTCTAGAAATTCCAGAAATTTCAGAGAATTCCAGAGAATTCCAAAGAATTCCAGAGAATTCCAGAGAATTTCAGAGAATTTCAGAGAATTCCAGAGAATTCCAGACAATTCCAGACAATTCCAGAGAATTCCAAAGAATTCCAGACAATTCCAGAGAATTCCAGAGAATTCCAGAGAATTCCAGAGAATTCCAAAGAATTCCAGAGAATTCCAGTAAAATCGAAAAGTAAGGCCAAGTAAAGGAAAATAAACGATCGATTATGTGTAGAAAGAGTTAATCAACGGGTTTTGCAAATCAGAAAATATTCAAAAAGAGTTATTAAACGTAAAAATAGAATCAATGATCACAAGTTCGCAAAAAAAAAATATCACAGTATTGGGTCCTTTTTTGAGGACAAAATTCTTACTAAAGGCTTCGGTTTTGAAAGAATTTCTCTAAGAGCAAAATGAAAAAAAAAAACGTAAAATGAAACCGCAATTTTTGAGACAAAAAAAACCCTTGTTTCAGGTTGAAAAATTTACAGATAAAGTTGAAGAAATCATCGACTGTCGGAGAGATGCATCCCCGAGTCAGTTGTGTCATTTCCGTCGTGCTTCTCCTAGAAAATTAGCTTGATAAATTTGTGGGAATGTGAATGATTTCAACCGGATTTTCTAGAGTCTTTACGAGTAAACCTAACAAGCGAATGGTCCAACATGTCAATTTTTGATGGCAAGAAGATGAAAAAGCCATTCGTCAACAGAGAATCCAATACTGTATTTAGTTTTTGCCAGGGAAATTGCATTCTCGAGAAAAGCGCGTTTAAAATTTGAGCATTTACTCGGAAAATAGCTCCTAGAGGCTGAGGTCTTTATCGTGTTCGATAAAATTTGACCCAATGGTCTAATGGGTGATGCGCCGACCTAGCGAACTTTTGCTCTCGGGTTCAATTCTGGTCCCCGACTTTTTTTGCCATTGATTGTAGGTAAAGTCTTCTATGGGTACTCAACTGGAGTGGACTCAAGCCTGGCCAAGCATCTATTCGGAAATAGATGCCTGGCCAAGCCATTTAAAACAGAAGCCAGATTCGGACCTGACTAGAGTCATTTGTGGATCAGAACTGCAGTAAATCCTACAGTAATTAGTTGGAATTCAAGTCTAGAACCTTATCTCTAAACTGAAATCTAAATCTTTTTGAGTCAGGCCAAGTTCTGATCCTGCTCTGTCTTCTACATGATGACCAGAAAAAGCCCGTTCAAACCGTCCGTTCTAGGCTCATATTTCTGTTATTTGTAGACTAAACCAATTAATTTCTTTTTTAAATGAAAATTCATATCATTTTCTGTATATATTCAAGATTTCATGACCATAACATTGATAGATAATTTGTTTTTGAGCGCTTAAAAATAGCTGGCCAAAAACTAACGAGTTGCAATTCAAATGAATGACAAAAAATGGTCATGACATCTAACATTTACAGAAAACTATGTGAATTCTCATTTAAAAAAGAAATTAATCATTTTGGGCTATAAATAACAGAAATATGAGCCTAGAACGGAGGATTTGGACGGGCTATTTCTGGAAGCTATAGAAGCTACCCTATAGAAGCCAGAGCAGGACTAGAGCTTGGCTTGGCCAAAAAAAGATTTGGATTCCAGTTTAGAGATAAGACAAACTCCAACTAATTTCAACTTTTAGAGACTTTTTCTTTCTGTGATTTGATTTGTAACTCACAATTGGTCGACAAGATTCTTCAGTTTCCGTCTCATCTTTCTCATCAGGAACTCTTTCAAGTTGGGGGACTTTCATGGTGAGATCAGCCACGAGAGCACTCATATCTTCTGAAGCAAGCGACAAAGCATCACCACCGGATACCATTGAATGATGAGAGCCAGCGCACTGAAATCAATTTAGATCCGTATATCAATTGTATATCAATGGTAATCCTTTTAGTTCTTCAATCAACTCACACTAGAGTCATCCTCCATGTCACACACTGATGACCCTCTCAATTGATTCTTGGTCCATTTCTCGGCACTCTGTAACAGGTATTGAATCAATTACTTCCTTTTTTCTTACCTTTAACTCGAGTTGATTAATCTTCTGCTGTAGATCAGCAAGGTTTTGCATAGCTTCTGAGTATTTTAACCTCTGCATGATGCTTTCTTCGTTCAACTCCGATTCTCTCTGCATAATCTTCGCCTTCTCAGCTCTCATCGCTTCCTCCATTTCTTTTTTAGCCTATAATTTGATGATAACAGGAATCTTGAACTAAATAAGTCAGCTTAAAGTTTTGCAAACCTTTTGAACGAGATTCTTGTCTTCTTTGAGTCTTTTTAACTCTTCATCTTGTCGTCGGAGTTGATTTGTGCAAACATGGTTCTAAAAATAAAACATAATTGATTCAATTCATTTAATATCTAATTTAAAATCGAAAATCTACCTGTGTCTCCAGCTCCATCACTTTTTGTCGCATCTCTTTCAACTCAGCTACCGTGTCAGCCTCTTTTATTCTCACTCCCATTAGTTGATCCTCGAGTTCTCTAATGGATATCCCGTGATCCTCGTCAGGAGATCCAGATCCAATGATGCTAGCAGTGATCTTCGCTAATCGAGCTCTAGCCGAAGTGAGTGGAGGAGATGGTTGTTGAGGAGTTGTAGCCGGGGTATCGACTGGAGTGTTTCCATTCTCATGAGGAGCAGTGGTGGTTGGATCGAATGCTCTCATGTGAATGTACTTCTAGAAAAGTCTTGTTAAGCTTGACAAAAACCAAGTAAACATACAGCCCACTGTTGTTCCAGTTCAGCTAATCGTTGCCGCATCTCCTTCAACGAAAGATTCGCTTCAGCTTCTCTCATCTTCACTGAGATCAGTTCCTCTTGCAGACAAGCGATTCCCTCAGATGGTTCATGTTCTCTCAATCGTTTATTCGTTGTCTCAAGCTCCTAAAACATCTCAGCAAATATTTTTCTTCATCTTCATTTCTCTCACCTGTATCCTGATCTTCTGATCTCTGATCTGATTCTCGCTGTCAGCTTGACGATTGTGAGTTTCAATGAGCTCTTGTTGAAGTGCGTGAATGTGTTCAATCATCGTTGTATCATCAACTTGAAGTCCAATCTCAACCATTTCTCCTTTTCTAGTACAAGAGAGTTCTCTAAAACTTGAGATGTCTCAAATCATTTCTCCACAAAAACCTGATCGTCTCATAAGCGTCTTCCAATTTCTTGTAAGCGTCAGAGTTGATGTCTCTCAATTTGTGCATCTCGTGAGAGATCGAGATACAGTTTTCAGCTTCTTGCGCCAAGTTTACCTAAAGATACAAAGTCACAGTCATTTCTTGATCTTTTCCAATCAAGATCTATCAGCTCTATTTGCTAGAGAAATTTATGAATGATTTAGTGAACAAAATCGATCATTTTCCTTTTCTCTAACTCTCCATATTATCCCATAAATCTCTCGAATCGTGTCTGTTCTATTTCCCTTTTCACTAGATTCTCCATTTTCCCCAATTCCAGTCCTTTTACACTTGTTTTCGCTTTTTCTTCGACCTTTTTAAGATGTGAAAAGGTTTCAGCTCTGCTTTCAGCGCCAAATTTTTCTTAAACAACATCTCTACAGTTGACAAATGAGTCATTTGATGAATGAATTGAAAAGTTTTCAATCGTTTTTCAGCTTAAAAGGTTATGAAAGCGAGATCGTTTAAAACTGTAAAACTTTGCGTAATTTTGATGAAACTGAAAATAGTTCTTGCAGTTACAATAGTTCTTGCAGTTACAATAGTTCTTGCAGTTACAATAGTTGTTACAGTTGCAATAGCTGTTGCAGTTGCAATAGTTCTTGCAGCAAAATCTTCACAAACCTGTCCTTTAACAAGTCGATCAGCTAGTGCACTTGACTCTGCCTCGAGATAGTCTATTCTTTGCCTGAGCAGCCGATTCTCCGTCCGTAGCCTCTGAAAATAAAATATATTTCTTTATAATTAAAGAATTAAAATAAGTTAACTTTTAGTTTTCAGTTTCCAGTTTTTAATAGTATTTTTCACAGTCATTTCTTGGATTGAATTTCAATGAGAATCGTGCTGTTTGTCTGGCCTATTGTTCTCAATTTTCTCACCTTTCAGAAAAGAAATCAAAGGATTCACCTTTTCGTAAGGCTCTTAGAAGTTCTAGAGCTTTAAAGTAAATAAAAATTCATTTGACGTTCAAATCCAAATTAATCGTTTTGGTAATACTTTTAGTTTTAAAAGTTGAACTTTTGAAAGTTCTGCAAGAGTTTAACTATACATTTTGGGTTTAGGTCAAAAAAGCGTTCACTTTGCAAGGCATTTACCCAAACAAATAGACTCTCCGCCGAAAATGACCCCATCAATTTTCCTTTCTCTTTTTTTTTTGACATTTCCAATTCCCCTTTGCTCCCTTTTTTTCTAATTTCTTTAAAAAGAACCAAAATTTTCGTACGATGAATGAATAATGGGAGAAATGAAAGGATCTAGTCATAGAGCGATTATCGATTTGCGATGGGAAAAGTATTACGAATTTTAGATAAAAAACCGAGAGCTCTTTTCAAAACTACAAGTAATTCTTTGGTTTTTTTGATACTCTTTGAAGAAGTTTGTTGAGTGGTTTGTGAATTGTTTACATAGAAAAGATTGGATGGTTGAAAAGAGAAAACGAGACTTGAAAACAATACTCGTTTCTCGGAAATTTGAGTTGTGAAGAAGGGAAAGGTTAGAAAAAATGTTAACTATTTGGCAAGGTTTTGATCTTTTGAAAATTTAAAAGTACGGGACTACAGAATGCTACAGAATACAGCACAGTGCTACAGAATACTACAGAAAACATTACGGGACTACAGAAGGCTACAGAATCCAGTACAGTGTTTCAGAAGGCTACAGAATCCAGTACAGTGTTTCAGAAGGCTACAGAATCCAGTACAGTGTTTCAGAAGGCTACAGAATCCAGTACAGTGTTTTAGAAGGCTACAGAATACAGTACGGTGCTACAGAATGCTACAGGTACAATGGAAAAGAAAAAGTCCATTTTCAGCTGCTTCTTTACTGTCGTAAAAAGACTTTAAACCCCTTTAAGCGTAAAGAACGGTCAATCTTTTTTTAGGGAAATCATATGCAAATCTGTTTTTTGAAAATCAAAAACTCTAAACTTTTGAAAATCGGAAAATTCAGGCAAAAAGAAGAGTTTTCTTTTTGGACAAATTTACGATTGCCTATTTCTTCGTTTCCTCGTGCCGACCACATGTGCCTTTCCATCAACTAACCGAACTTTTAAGGATAGAATTTCTCCTCCAAAAACCCTTGAAAAACTCCCGAAAACTATTGTAATTGGCTTAGGATTTTTTAGGCTAAAAAAAAGTTCTCAAAAATTGGAAAATGATTTGAAGTTGTCGAGTTTTAAAAGTTGAATCGATGAAGAAAGTGATGATTCATTGGAAAAGAGAATTTCAAAGGGTTTCGTTTAAACAAGTTTATGACTAATCTTTTCTAATATCTGACTAAAATTCTCCTAATTTTCCTAAAGAAACGAACCTTCTTTGTCCACGTGAATTTCTGAGTAAGTTTTCGCTTCCTCGGAATCATAGTGAATTGTAACTCAAAGTGAATAAATCGATGCAGCAAATGCAGCAAATCAAATACAAATCGAATGAATAAAAGAGGAAAAGAGAGAGGTTATTGGATGGTTGTGACAAAAGTTTTCTAAATTGTCCTTTTTGCTCGATTCTCTTTTCAAATCGACAGTGGATGGGGTGGAAAGGGGGAGTGGTTGAGGAGAGAAGAAAAGGGGATGGAGAGGGGTGGTTCTATCGAAATTTGAGAGGTTTTTGGAAAGAAAATTGAGGGAATGAAGGGAAGAGATGATGAAGAGGTAAAAGAATCAAACAAGATATTGAAAATGAAAGGTTGAGGAGAAGGAAATAGAGACAGGTTCGTTCTTGCAGAAATAAAAAGATGATGTAGAGAAGAGTAAGATGAGTAAAGTAAGATGTAGAGATCAACAAGGTAAGATTAGTGAAGTGAAATGATCTACCATAAATACTGTAATAGTACCCGACCCCCCTCGTACAGTCGCGTAGTCGCAAAAGTTTTTTAGTATTTCATTTTTTTCAAAGCACCCGTACTTTCAAAAAATGCTTTTTGGTATTAAAAAATAGCTGAAATTCAGGGCTATTTTTTGATACCTAAGCGAGCATTGTAGCATAAACCAGTGTCGAGTAAAACGCTGTCAAAGCTAGACTACACAACACTCCGCACCGTCATTATCTTTGGTATCAAAAAATAGCCCTGAATTTCAGCTATTTTTTGATACCTAAGCGAGCATTGTAGCATAAACCAGTGTCGAGAAAAACTCGTTCAAAGCTAGACTACACAACACTCCGCACCGTCATTATGGGGGTGGGGTACTATTACAGTATTTACGGTATGTGATAAGTTTGAAATCCTTGCAAGACAAAGAACAAATTTGATAGATTTGATGTAAAAGATCGCTAGATTAAAGTGGTTTTCTTGTTTAGTTTGAAGAAAGAAATCGAATTGATAGATCAAAGAAAATGGAATGCGAGAGATTTAAAAGGAAAATCGGGAAAAATGAACGAAAATGGGCGGGGCACTTTTCCCGCTCAATGATGATTCTTACAATAATAAAAATTTTCAAAAGATCTAATAGCTTTTCAAATTCTCAGCATTTATAAATGAGAATGAAGTTTATGATTGTGGAAATGATAAAGAAATGTTTTACAAAAGAGATTATCGTGTAGATACAGTACTGGACAATGAAATATGATATTTGAAAAACGATCGTCACTTTCGCGCGTCTATAACTCCCTTGTCTTTGAGTTTAAACTATTAGTGTTATACATTTTCTGAAAGCTCTTTTCAAGGGCTACACAATAATAATATTAATATTTAGAAATACTGTAAAGACAAGGGAGTTATAGATGGGCGAAAGTGACCATCTTTTTTCAAATATCATATTTCATTGTCCAGTAGTATATGTATAGAAAAACTTTTAATAGTCAAATAATGATTTTTAGTAAGAAATAACTCAATAAAATCAACTTTTTCAACTCAAAATAACTTTAAAAAGCTAGTTTTTAAAGAAAATGAAAAAGTAGATTAGTAGAAAGGTAGATTTGAAGCTGAAATGATTTAAAAACTGGTTGCTTTTTGATGTTTGATGAGAAGAAAAACTTGTGGTGTTGATCAAAAGCAGAATCCTTTGGATCTTGTTAGTTTGTAGACTTCTTCGTTGTTCTGTTTACCCCATTTTGATCTCCTCTTTTCTTTTTTTTCTTATCCTTTTCATCTTGCTTGATATTAATGAGAGATCTGGCTGGCTTTTACTGCCAACAGAGATCATTTCTTAGAAGTTCTTCATGTTTTTGAGGGGAAAAGTTGAAAGGGTTTTTAGATAAAGATCAATTTTAATAAAACTTAGTGGTTTACAATTGTACAATTACAATTTACAGCTTTTGAACTGATTCTTGAATTAAATATGAACTAAAACAATTAAAAGTCTGATTCTTAAAGGTTAAAAGTTTTTGTTTGAAGTTTTAGTATAATAAACTAATAGATTTTGAGAAATTACTTTATTTAGAAAGCTAAGCGCTATTCTGAATAGCTAAATCTTATGCGTAAAGAGTTTTAAACTCAGATTATTATGACTGAATGAAAAGTCCTTTCCGATTTTTTGGGAGAGTACCTTAAATTTGTCGAATTTTGACGTTTTATAGCTCATCCTAAAGCTGAATTCAAGACGGATCGATTGGTAAAAACCGTTTTGATATATCTCTTTTTTAAACGTTTTACCGTTTTTTTAGTAAAGGGCGGCAAAAAATGGCTGTTTCCCCTTTGTTAGCCGGCAGAAACCTAGGCTAAAATGTTGTTTCGTGATCAGGGTACAAAAATAACCCGACACATCTTAGCAAAACGAGAAAAACGAAGGAAAATCGCGAAAAGCGGCGGAAAGGCTATTGATCTGAGGGTCGCTGGTTCGACTTCCACCGGTGACAATATTTTTCAAAAAATTTTTGCTAAGATTCTGAAAATGCGTGTCTAGGGGTTATTTTTAACGCTGATCACGAAACACATGTTTTTAGCCTAGGTTTCTGCACGGAAAACTAACGAAACGTGAAAACAGCCATTTTTTTTGGCTCTGCCGCCCTTTACTAAAATAGCTGTAAAAACTTTTAGAAAAGAGATATCTCAAAACGGTTTTTACCAATCGATCCGTCTTGAATTCAGCTTTAGGATGAGCTATAAAACGTCAAAATTGGACAAATTTAAGGTACTCTCCCAAAAAATCGGAAAGGACTTTTCCACCAACTCAATAGAAAGCTAAGCGCTATTCTGAATAGCTAAATCTTATGCGTAAAGAGTTTTAAACTCAGATTATTATGACTAAAGCTTCGATTTTGTTCTCACAAATCCAAGCCATTTCTAAAGCAACCAATCTAAACTATTCCTAAGAAATTTGGAAACCAAAAATGATCATCTTTTTGCAATAAAAGTTGACAGTCATTGAAAAGCCTCGTTCCGCTTAACGATCAAGAGAGAAACTCAAGAAAAACACAGAAAACACATTTTTGTCTTTTTCTCTCCTTTTCTATTTGGCACAAACATATGTTCTGAGTTGGTTGAAATGCTTTTAAAACTTAAGAATCCACCGAGAAATAACTTGGAAACCGAAAAACCCATTTCAAAGAAAGAATTTAGTTTAAAAGCAAAAAACAAACCCTCAATTCGACAGCTTCTTCTTGTTCTTTTGTTCGCTTGGTCATATATTCTTTCTCTAATCTGAAAAGTTAGACTTGTAACTGATAAGGAAAACTAGTTAATCAAGAGAAAACGATTAAGTCTTTTACCTCTTCATCTTTTTGGGGTTTAGTTGAACTTGATTAGCGACAGCGAAGAGAAGCTCTGGATCGTTTTCGAATCGTTCTCGAATCTCTCGTTGAAAATACTAAATAATAGCTTTAGATAAAGTTTCAGTAAACTAAAATCAAACAAATCTAATCAAAAAGTGGTTTACAAGAGTTTTTGTTATTAATATGAATACAGATTTATATTGGGTTGGTGAATTGAAAACTGCGGGCTATTGTCATATGTCACAGTTTGAGCACTTTCTTCAAAAGAAACCCATTTTGGTGTCAATGGAAAAGTTGTAGAGAATCAAAAATTAAGCTTATATTCAAATTTTCAGAACGATTCAAAACCTGGTTTTCAAGAAATGCGAAATTTACGAATTTTCACAAAACTTGCATTTTCAGCGAAATTACTAAGTGTATCTTTTTGAAAATTTGGCTATAAGCCTAATTTTTGATTCTCTACAACTTTTCTATTGACATCAAAATGGGTTTCTTTTGAAGAAAGTGCTCAAACTGATCATCTCCAGGACATCTCCAGTCCTCCATTTTTGAGTCTCACACTTGTCTCACACACAAACCAAAATCCTACTACGAAAGAGGAATCCAGAAATTGCCTGTAAAATGGGCAGAAGTCGTCAATAATAATCGAAATTGTTTGGAATGAATTTATGGTTTTATGTTGAATAAATTTTAGTTCAAAGTCCCGCAGTTTTCAGTTCACCAATCCAATATAATCTTTTGCTGAAAGCAGTAAGGTTGATTAAGGTTTGATGCTCAATTAGTTTCTTGCAGTTTTTATGCTTCAATTTTTAGAAATCAATGAAAAATAAGTCAATTTAACTATGTAACTTTATTCTAAAGATATCTTGAACGTTTTTTGATTCCCACCTTTAGCATTCCTTCCATATCCAATCGCAATAAATCAATGCGAGCTTGTTGAAGAATAGCCATTGCCACAGAGAAGATATACTCCATTCCCTGAAACAGAAAAACGCATGAGATTTCAATAAATTGTAATATTCTCTCTTACCTCAACAAGGAAACAATCCATTATCCGATTCGCAATTTCTAAAGGAAGAGTCGTTGTGAAAAGTGTTAGAAACCATGATGAGGCGTACATTGAAGTATCGAAACCCATATTAGTAAAATGGGAATATAAATCAGGCATCTAAAAATATAAAATTCTTGAAATCAACTTCTTTTTACCTGTTCTTGAACCATACACTCCAACTGGAACATATTCAATCCTAGATCAGTCATTGTCGGTTTGTACAACTCTCGGAGTCTGTAGTTTTCCATCAATCGGACAAGTACGGCAAAAGCCTCTTCTTCTGGCATCTGAATGAGAAGCTTTGGAAAAAAATTTGACGCTAATTACCTGTAATAGCAATTGTCCAACGATAAAAGCACTTCCTTGACAATACCCGACTTCTTTATCATGAATTGAGTAAGCTTTGATTACATTGAAGAGAGCTGATTGTCCTCGACCGCCATCTTTAAAGAACTCGAGTTCAGGATACGTTCGAGGGATGTCTCGTTGAATCACCTGTAAATTGAATTTGTCTCTTTTATTTCTCTAGTTTATTTCTCAAGGTTTAGATAATAAAGAAGTAAAGGAATTGGCAAGAAATACTAGATTTTGGAGAGGGGATTTAACCCTCAATCTTTTCATTTTTCAATTGCTTTAACCACTAAGTTATCCGGTATCTTCTTGCCAAAAGAAAGAAGGAAAGACAAGGGGGAAGAAGAAAGGAAGAAAGGAAGAAAGAAAGAAAGAAAGGAAGAAAGGACAAAAGAAAGAAAGAAATCAAGCAGTTATAAATTAAGATTATCCTAAGCTATCCGGTATCTTCTTGCCAAAAGAAAGAAGGAAAGACAAGGGGAAAGAAGAAAGGAAGAAAGAAAGAAAGAAAGAAAGGAAGAAAGGATGAAAGAAAGAAAGAAAGCAAGAAATTATAAATTAAGATTATAAAGCTTCTAGGCAAGATGCTAGGTAATTACTAAACCCGACATAATGGTTAGATTTGCTTTGGAAAGCCATTTAATGATTTATGGAAAGTTTATTTACAGTAATCCAGCTTTGTTTTAATCTTAAACCTTTAGAAAGCCTCTTTACCTTTTCATAAACACTATTTTGTCTCATATAATCTGAGTAGAGATCATGGATTGAAGACGCGGACGCATTCGATAACAATTGCCAAGCGATTGTTCGAAAATGTTGTGGGATTCCTCGTTTCACCAAAGCCTAAAGAATCTATTAATCTTTTCCCCTTTTTTTTTAAAACTAACCTTTATATAATTTGGTCTTTTCTTCACTTCGTATTCCCAATTTCGAATGAGATCTCCCCAAACTGTCCATAAATCTTCCTCTTCCTCCTCCGGCTGAACGCTTTGTTCCCTTCTACCACCTCCTGTAATTAGATTGAATTGAATTCTTGTCTTGAATTTGAATATTTCATTAAGATATAGTTAATATCCTTCATATCTTACTGGAAAAAGAAGCACTTGCTAAAGAAGAAGCTGAATCTTTAACTAAAAAAAGTTTAAAACCTGTAGATCCACTTGATCCACCACTTTTCTTTGAAGTCACTGATCTCTGGTCTTCCTCATTTGATCTAAAATTTACTTTCCTAATATAAAGCTTTTAATTTCTATTTTTATTTTAAACCCAAATAGTTTTTTGTTTCTTTTTAGAGAACTAGCTTTTTTGAGATCTAAAGCGAAAAACGGGCGACCGAAAATCGGACCCCAGGGAAATGGGAAGTCATAAATATCATGTTCTTCACAAAGTTTTCTTTAAAAGTAAACTTCTTAAGTAAAACCTTTTACTTCATTCATCAAAGTTATGAAGTAAAGATTTAAAGAAAAAACTTCTGAAGTTTTCCTTTTACTTATTTAAGATCAACGAATTTCATAATAAGAAAATGTTCTGTTAACTATTATACTATTTGATTATGATTACCCTATTTTCCCTAATAGTAGTGCACCCTGAGCGTCGCCTAAAATCCTCGAAATCTCAAAAAGCGCTTATCAGAACCTAGCGATGTGCGGTCAGAAAATGTAGCTGACGATGAGATCTAGTGGGGGATGAGAGTGTTGAGCTTCTGCCTGGGTCTGAACCTAAGCCTGAGCCTAAGCCTGCGCCTAAGCCTGAATTTAAGCCTGAGCCTAAGCCTGAGCTTCGCCTAAAATCCTCGAAATCTCGAGAACCACTTATCAGAACCTATCGATGTGAGGTTGGAAAATGTAGCTGACGATGAGATCTAGTGGGGGATTTGAGTGTTGAGCTTCTGCAAAAGCTTGGAAGCCGTAAAATCGTCACCAACTCGGCTCGCCGGGGTGCACTACTATTAGAGAAAATACGGTATACTATTATATTATACTATTATCCCATTATACTATTTGAAGATCTGTAAAGAAAATTAAAAATTTATTAAGCTTTAAAAAATGATTTTAAAAAGAGTGCTTTTATTGATAAACTGTGTGAATCTATTTTCACTCTTGCTACTGGAAAAGAAAAGAGAGATGAGCAGAGATTTGAGGACTTGTATATTAAAAGTTTTCAAAACAAGTTATATTAAGGATTTTTTTTTCTATAGAAGTTCTCAATATCAAGAAACTATTTAGCTTTAAAAATCAACCTGTTAAGCTGTTCCATTTTGAGGAGAAGATTAATGGCCGGGGCCGGAATCTCGGAATCCGATGGTGGTTGAGTCTCACTGTCGGTTTCAGCTTCAGCTAAAAATAAGTTCTTTAAAAAAAATGTTAAAACTTTTGCTAACAATTAGTAGATTTATATTTGAAGATCTGTAAAGAAAAGGAAAAATTTATTAAGCTTTAAAAAAGATTTCAAAAAGAGTGCTGTTATTGATAGGCTGTGTGAATCTATTTTCACTCTTGCTACTGGAAAAGAAAAGAGAGGTGAGCAGAGATTTGAGCAAAGAATAAAAGGATTGGGGAAACGAAACTGAGGAGGGAAAACGGCAATCACTCATTTCACAGCTCTTCCAAACGGGTGACAGCCTCCCTACACAAGGACAAGAAGAAGGAGAAGAAGGAGAAGAAGGAGAAGAAGGAGAAGCTCCTTTATGTCAAAAGGAATCGTTTCCGGGAGAATCTTGAGATTGTTTAATGGATTTACATAGAAACCAGCCGGGGAAAGGCACGAAGACAAGGTAAGCTTTTGTCTGGACACCCAGTGCACTTTATAGAATCCGAAACTGAAATCAAAATCTACCAAATGACTTTCCAGGCGTGTAATCGGACGTCGAAACGGATGCTTTAAAAGGCTTTTTTCTAGTGAGAGAAAGGTGCGTTGGTGGCCTAGTAGATAACACATTAGATTTCCGCCCACAGGATTAGGGTTCGGTCCCTGATTGCGCGCTTGAGTTCGTGCCTTTCCCTAGTTAGCTTTGGTTTCTAGTGAGTCCTTACTAATAATCCTTAGTCCTTACTAACAATCTTCTCATTGTAGATTCTTGATTCTAGCTCTCCTTTGATAAAACTAAACACTTCTAACTCCAACATGCAAAACTGACAAGCACAATTTGGTCTTTAACTAAATAACTAGTATTTCCTTATCTTAATCTCAGACAATCAAAATCAAAGCTTTAAAATCTGTATCGCTACTTAAAGTTTAATTTAATCTAAGGCTTTTTTGAATAGGTGAAAGATGACAAAACAAACTCAAAAGTAACGTTTTCTCCACCGAAAACAAAAAGTTGCTCAGCGAAAAAATAACGTGTGTAAAGCCGCTGTGAATGATCCCCGTCAAACAAGCTCTTTAGGTGGAGATCAAAAAAAATGTCCCACAAATGATACGTTTTGCAAGAATAAAGAAAAAGAGAGAAAGAGTGGCCATTAAAGAAAGGGATTTGGGTGGTGAAAAGAAAGAAAAAAAGGACAAAAAAAGACAAAAAAAGGGGATGTCGAGAGAGATTAGTGTCTGTTGTGGGGTGGATAGATGAATCGACTAGTGGGATATCGAGAAAGTGAAAGAGGAGGTGATGTGTGGATAAAGTGGGTGAGAATAGAGAACAAAGGCTTGGAGTGAGAAGAACAGTTGTCTCGGTCCTCTCGGTCCTCTAGGTCATCAATGGCCTCAATTGAGCCATTTACTTAGTTGGGCAACAGTGAAAACTGGCTAAAAACCCAGGAAATTCTTGCGACTCATGTCTGACAGTTGATGTGAATTTGAATAATCGATCAAGCTCTCAAATTTCAATTATGAACCTTAGAATAGCATTGAAATCGACATTCATAGCTGTAACCTTTTCTAATCTTTTTAAAATCACCTCAAAATTTAACTATTGGGTTGGTGGATTGAAAACTGCCGGCTATTGTCATATGTGACAGTTTGAGCACTTTCTTCAAAAGAAACCCATTTTGGTGTCAATGGAGAAGTTGTAGAGAATCAAAAATCAAGCTTATATCCAAATTTTCAGAACGATTCAAAAACTGGTTTTCAAGAAATGCGAAATTTACGAATTTTCACAAAACTTGCATTTTAAGCAGAACTACTAAGTGTATCTTTTTGGAAAGTTGGCTATAAGCCTAATTTTTGATTCTCTACAACTTTTCTATTGACACCAAAATGGGCTTCTTTTGGAGAAAGTGCTCAAATGCTCAAACTGGGACATCTCCAGTCCTCCATTTTTGAGTCTCACACTTGTCTCACACACAAACCAAAATCTTACTACGAAAGAGGAATTCGCAAATTGCCTGTAAAATGGACAGAAGTCGTCAATAATAATGGAAATTATTTGGAATCAATTGATGGTTTTATGTTGAATAAATTTTAGTTCAAAGTCCCGCAATTTTCAATTCACCAACCCAATACAGCGAACGGTTGGGAAAGGTGAATGAATCCCTGAATAAGAATAGGCCCTCTAAGTCAAAGATAGTTCTCATCCACGACAACGCGCGCCCTAATGTTGCAAAACTGACTAAAATAAATAGCCTTGTTTGGGAACTTCTGGCGCATTCCCCATACAGTCCGGACCTCGCCCCTTTTGATTACTATTTATTCTGGATCATGAGTAATGAGCTTGCGGGAGAACACTTCGATTCGGAAGAGGCAGTCAAAAATTGGCTTTGAAAGTTTTTCGATTCAAAACCAAAATTCTACTACGAAAGAGGAATCCGCAAATTGCCTGTAAAATGGGCAGAAGTCATCAATAATAATGGGAATTATTTCGAATGAATTCATGGTTTTATGTTCAATAAATTTTAGTTCAAAGTCCGGCAGTTTTCAATGCACGAGCCCAATAATAATCCTTAGGAAAGCCGCATTATAATCTGAAATTAAACTCACTTAAAATATTGGTCAAGAATTCATTTATTCTTTTGCATTAACTGCTAAATGAATACCAAATTTGAACAAGATCGATTGTCGTATGTAGAAAATTTATATTGTATTATTATAGAAAACATATAAAATATAATACATATAATTTTCAGTAAAAAAATAATAGCTAAAAACGAATCTTCATCAATGAAACTTGATAGCTTTTAGTCTAAGCAAAAAGAGTAGGAAAAAGAATGGAGAAATTGATTGTTAATCTTTTTTTTGGCTTAAAGTTTAAATAAAATGGTTTAGGTTTGGGTTTAGGTAAAGGTTTATAATAAAATAATATAGTTTCTATTGGTTAAAGTACAAAAATGGGCTTGGTCTTGGCTTAAAATTAGATTAAATTCTCTTCTGGGCTTTTAAAGTAAAAACTAATAAATCATATGCAAGTTGCTCTTATAAAATAATCATAAAAACTAGTTTTTCAATATTTTTACTAATATTTGAAAAAGAAATTCTCAAAAAGAGCGATAACAGGTGGAATTGTATAGGTAAAAGAGAGGCGATTAGTCACAGAGAGACACCAACACATTTCACAGAGAAAAACAGAAAATAGCAATCGAATTGATTCATTTTTAAGCAATCGATGCAATGCTTTCAGTTGTTTCACTCAGAAAAATAGAAAAAGAAAACTGGGAAGACTTGTCGGGAATCTAATTCGGCCATGCTGAGCGCACCGGAAAGGATTCACACAAAGGGAATGGGATCCAGCTGATGATAAGGAAAGCTTTCACGAGTAAAACAATAATCAAATTCATTTGATTTTCTTGTAACTTTTAACACTGAGTCAAAATTTTGAGCTTAAAACTAGATTAACTTTATTAACTGCCTTCAACCATTGTTTTCAGCAAAGCGAAAAGGATTAGGCGATCAATGACCATGCAGGGTTTGATTTTAAGATCAAATAAAGAATCTTGATCGTTAAAACTATGATTATCTCGCAGAAATTCTTAGAAAATGTCAAATGTAGAACTAGAAGAGTAATTTAATGATTGAATTCTAATGAATATTAATAGATTTCTTTAAAAATTTCTCAAATTTAAGGTATTTTCTATAGTTGAAAGATTAAGAAATGAAAGAATTTGAGAATTTATTCAAAAAACCCTATTCTTAAGATCTCTATTTGTGTCATCAATCGATCAATCAATACCTCAAAATCTTTCCCTCAGAAAAACGATACTTGTGTAAGGAAGGGAAGCGACCGAAATTTGACCCAATAGTGTGGCGAAGAAAAGAAGGCCCGCCTGAGGGATGAAAGAGGGAAACGAACGATCAACTTCGACAATTTTTGTCACAAAAAGAGACAGGAGAAGAGAAAAGGTACACTAAAGGAGAAGTAACCAGTCTAGAGTGGAACTACAAGAAAAGGAGAATGGGAGCGAGCGAAAGAAGGGAAAAGGAGAGCTGATTGAATGAAAGGGAGCCGACGAGAGTCTCCCAAAAAAAGATGGGTGAGGAGAAAAAGGACCACTCAATACAAGGCTAAATGCCCTTAAAACTGGAATGGCTCAATGGATCTCTGGATATTTGGCTCAGTTTTGGTTTTGATTCGCGGCTAATTGAGTTAGGATTGGCTCAATGGGTGTCTAGAAAGATGAATCTCGAGTAACTCATAGAAATTTTGATTTGTTCTAAAAGAATTGCTGTTTTTTTGTCAGATTGGAAAGACTTTAGTTAACTTTAGAGTCGACAGTCAACTTTAGAGCCAACAACTAGTTAACTTTAGAGTCAGCACTCAACTTTAGAGCCAACAACTAGCCAACTTTAGAGTCAATGTTTGTAAACAACGCTTAAAGCCAACTCTAGAATCGACAGTCAACTTTAAAGCCAACAACTAGCCAACTTTAGAGATGTTAAACAACTCTTGAAGTCGTCTGATTGAAGTTTATGGACTTATTTAAAGCCAAGGATGATTTAAAACGAATAAGAATGAGTTTGGCTAGAAAATATCGATGTCTTTCTAAAGTTTAAGTCATGAAGTAAATTCAATAAAAGCTATTTCACCAATTATTCCAAAAGAACAATGTTGAGGTGGAGTGTTTAAAAATGCATTGATCGTTTCCGGTCACGGAGTCAAGAAAAGAAGAAAAGGATGAGGAAAAAGAAAGGAAAAGAAAGAAAAGAGAAAAATGAATGTTTCTCGTAGACTCGGTTTCAAGCGAGAACTAATGGAAGTGGAAAAAAAAGAGAATGGGATGATTGGAAAAAAGTGTAGAGATGAAGAGATGAGCGGAAAAGCATTCAAACTATGAACCCCGGTTGATTTTTCTAATCGATACCGGCTTGACTCATGCGAACTGATTGCTTTTCAAAAAGCTAAAAGAAAGAAAAAGAAAGAAAAAGATGTTTTTGAGACAAAATAGTTAGGGAATTGGTTTTAAACTTTACAGAAGTTGAATCAAATCAAATAAAGCTAAGAATATCAAGCTTATTCACAAAGCTTGACATTAATTGTCAATTTTGATATAGATAGTTTGAATCAAATCAAATGAAGCTAAGAATATTAAGCTTATTCACAAAGCTTGACATTGACTAGATTGTCAATTTATGCTTGATAGTTTGACATGGACTAGATTGAATTTCTGAAATCTCAAAATTACTTAAATTCTGTATCAAAGCTAGATTCGCTTTCTTGTAGCCAGACTGGTATTTTTTTTTGATGAATGTCGTGGCAAAAATCAATTTTGGCAGAAATTGAGCCTCTCAATTCAGACTTTTCCATTCAAAATCCTTAGAAACAAATATTTTGATGGAAATTCAAAGCTAAGTCAGAAAGAATTCATAAAAATTTGCTATTGGAAGCCAGTAAGAATTGGCTGGATACAGGGGAAAAACGATTGCTTTTAGAGATCGAGTTGAAAGTTCCGTAAAAAGAAGAAATGGAAAGGAAGGGGGGAAGGGATGTCGTGGCGATTCGACGCCAAAAGGAGACACCACCAGGTAGTGTGCACAGCTTCATGAATAAATGAGCCTCCTCGCAACACCCAATCCATCCATACAGAGACATTGATGGAGCAAGGAGAGGAGATGAGGCCAGAAAAAGTTGAACAAAGGTTGAAAAGAGAATTGAGCAGATTGGGCAGATTTCAGATTTGAATTCTTGTGCTTGTAAGAGATTTGGATTGTGTTCTAGTTAAAATACGTATATAGTATTTATCTAATAGGCTTTTCAGAAAGTCTTTTCATTCCTTTTCGTCTTTACGTTGAAAAATAACAAATTCACCAATTAACCTATGGTTTTTTTCATTAGAAAGATCAAAAATACAAAAAGAAAAGAAAAGAAAAGACTTTCTAGACAATCTAATAAGATCTCATATGGTTTAATGCTAAAAAAACTAACAATAAACAGACATTAGACATTCTATACAGTATTATTATACATTGTATATCAAGAATGTACCCAGAAAAGATTTTTAAAAATATGAAATGTTGAAAACAATAGAAGGATTTTAAAAAAATGCCTAACCTGATTGAGAGATTTGTGAAAGTTGTGAGATTTGCCTCCAAAACACCATCTTTTTCCATTCAAATTTACACAAATTCACAGCGAATAGCTATTACATATGACTATTAGACAATCGACTTTCTTTACGATGTCGGTGAGCCTTAGGCTGATAGTGAGAAGAAAGGGAATCGGCAAAAGGGGTGACAAGTCTCAGTCTCTTTTCCTCTTTCATTCAAAGAGCTGGCCATTGTGTGTTTGTCTTTCCACTATCGCTTCAATTTTCCCCGCCTTTCTGCTGAATTTTGCTGGCACATTTTATGCCTTTTGAACAGGGGGATGGATAGAATTTTAATTCCACTAGAAATTTGATGGAGTGAAAAAAAAAGCTCGAATTATTTAGGATCGAATTTCGAGTTATTCGTTTTTCTCAAAGAATGACGAAAAATTATGGTTGACTGTTGTAGAATTGACTGTTGCAATGATAAAAATGAAATGAATGCAATGAAAGTATTGATAGAAAGAAGTCTGGAGTATAAACAGATTTTTGTAGACGAGCACAAAGTTTGATCTTGTGACTTACATGATGTAGCCATTTAGAATAGTTTTGCAAGTGTTATAAGAAAAGGAAATCAGCTGAAGATTTCTAATGTTTAACAAAATATTCTAGCTTTCAAGACTCACAATAATCAGGCAAGTGTCTGATGGCGGCAGCAGTAACAGCAGCCATTGACGGCGTCTCCCTGTTATGGGGAGAAAGCGGTGGACGAGGCGATGACGAGAGTCGAGATGGCCTGAAATTTGAGAATTTTCATTGAAAAGCTTGTTTTAAGTGAAAGTTCACGGAGAATAGTTCAATTCAAGCAAAATTTACTATGGATTTAGTAGAAAGTTTGATTTTTAGCCCTTTCAAAGTTAGCCGTTTCAATCAAAAAAGAAAGTTAGTTGCTTTTAGCTGTTTCAATCTCTTATCTCGTATCTTGTAACTCTAACAGTTACTTTAATTTGAAGATCTTTTCTTAAACTATTGTTTCCCCAAAATTTTCGATATCATAGTCTCGGTGGACAAAAGTTGAGGGATTATTTTCACGCAAACGAAAATCGTGAGCCCTGGCTCGAGAAGGACTGTTTGCACGAGAAAATGAAAAGGAAAGGGACCTTAGGGGCGAATCTTTTACCTTTTTCCTTTCATTCAAAACTATTGACTCTTCATTTTTCTAATTTTAAGAAAACTTTTGAAAGAAAACTCTTGAATGAATGAAAAAATCATTCGTTTTTTTAAGATTGAAAGGTTAAGCTTGAGAAGTTGATCTTTTCTAAATAAAGAAGATAAATGTTCAATTCTTCAATGTACAGGGTGGACCAAAATTACCGTTACAATGCTCAAATGCGAAAGCGAACGATAAAAACTTCAGCAAATGTCAAAGAAAAGTGAGGAATCGTCTGTTGAAAACGTCAAACTAATCGGTGCGGAAAATGTCACAAAAAATGGGGATTAAGCGAAGATCCCTTAGAAGAATCATGAAAAACAAGCTCAAGTTAAAGGCTTACAAGAAAAATAAATCATAAATGCTATTAGTTGACGCTATCAACCACACAAAATTGTTGATAGTTTGAAAAAAGGCTTGGGAAGAGCTGGAAAAGGCTTGGGAAGAGCTGGAAAAGGCTTGGGAAGAGCTGGATCTCCTATACCTTCTCGCCACGATCGACGCTTGGACGTCTACGACGTTTGGACGCCTGTGTAAAAGCTATTGGAGATCTGTTTGAAAAGGAATAGTTTTTATGAATTGTTATGAGACAATAAAAGTTTTTCAGAAAAATCTTTGACGTTTTTGAGTTGCTTTTTATACAGAGACTTTTTACGACAATTTTGGCCCACCCTGTGGCCCAAAAATCAATGATTTATAACACTCTCTTTATTTCTTTTTAATTCAGCCTCTTGACTTTGTTTACCAAATAGAAATTGCCAAAATTAACTTACCATCCTTGAAACCAAGAGTTATGTGTGATTTGAATATAGTTATTGAAAAAGGTGGAAGAGGCTTCAATAAAGCTTTGTTTTTGTGATTGATGGTATTCAGGGATTGGAGTGATTAGAGGCCCAAGTGGCATAATGAAGAGTTAAATGTACATGGAATTCAATGAATTCAGTTATTTAGTGAGAGATGGAATTGTTTGTGAAGAGGTCTGTAGGAGAGGGTTTCTTTGGGGGAAGAGGGGTGAGAACACTCTGGGCCCGAGCCTCCACCCAGTCAATGATCCAAATTTGGACTCTCTTTTTTTTTCTGCACTCCCCGATCGACAGCTAGCTCTCGTCACACAAAACAAAACAAAATCGAACGACGGGAAACACAACGACCTGTCAACCAACACCCATGGCTTGTTGACTCTACGAAAGAGAAATTGGACTTTGGGATGATTTTGAAAAGATTTGAAAAAGCTATTAACTTGTGATTACTACCAGGGTTGGTTAAGGAGTTAAATTTCCAGAAAAAGCTAATCTAAAGCCAAGATTTCCAGGATAAATTCAAGGGTGAGCTTAGAATTCCGAGATCAAGGCAGATTGAGAGCCATTGAATTTGGCTTGGCTTGGCTGGGTAGCTTTTGGCTTTATTGTCAAGTCTGGTTACTATCTAACTACATAGAATTGGTATCGCGTAACTAAAGCTAGCAATCCATTAATTCAGGATTATTTAAGCCCTTTTAACAGCCAGCATTTTTAAGCCTTTTATCACTTTACTTTAAAATGAAAATGAAAAAATTGGAATAAGAATAAGAAAGAGAAGAAAGAAAAAGAAGAGAAGAAAATAAGAATTGATGAGAATGAAATCGATGACTAAGAATTAAAAGTTTCTACGTCTATTTTTCCGAATGAAAAGTGAAAACGAGCCGAATTGGCCGGCTCTTTCCACAGCGGGAAGTCAAATTATTGCGCTTTTCTGGAATTTCTTTGAAATCAACTTGTTTCCCTATATTCATTAAGCATTATTCTTTCAGAAAAGCAAGAAAAGCAATCTTTAAGAAATCTTGAGGAAAGATTTTTTTAATATCCAATTAGCTGATGTGATTGAAAAGTGAAAGCAGAGCGGTTTTCTCATAATCGACTATCAACAAAGACTGGAAAATCTTAAAAAGAGAAAGAGAATGAAAGCAAACAATCAATCATTCATATCCCTCATTCATGAAAAAAAAAATTTGAAATAAAAATTGTTTATAGTCGATATTATGGTAAAAATCCGTGAAATAGTCAAAACATTTGAATCGTCAGAGAAAGTTTTTGCGGAGAATGGGAGAATTTAGAACCTGGAAAAAGTTTTATCACCCGACGAGCGGCTGAAGGATTGGAGAAGAATGAAATGATGAGGAAATGAAAGAGGGAAAAGGAAAGAAAAAAAGAGAAACGAGTTCGATTTGAGTGAAGGCTTTCACGAGGAACAATTCGAATGAAAAAAAGAGATTGAATGGTCATCAAGATTGAGAAAAGATGGGGAATTGAATCTAGAACAGTACAATTTTCTAAAGTGAAAGCGGGCTAAGTTTTAGATTTTTTAAATTAACATTTAATCAAAAAGTTGGATCAAAAGGATCAAAATAAAAGTCTACCAAGCCTGCCCTGGAGGCGGCCCGATGCTTGTCGGTGTAGCTCATTGGTAGAGCTTTCAGTTAGAAGGCAAGAGGTCACGGGTTCAAACCCTCTCTCAGCCTGCTGTTCAACTTTTTACTAATCAAACTAAAAAAGTTATAAGATTTTCTGTTTTAGGTAACTGAAATAACTGTTGCCTTTCAAATTCAAACTAAATCCTTTAAGCTTTTCATACTGGTTTTTATTTCTGTATTTAATGAAGAAATTTCAATCAATCAATCAATATAATAACTGGTCTAGTTGACGTTAAAACAGAAGCTTATCTTTTTCAGGAGCATCAGGTCCTTAGGTTCTCCAAGATTAGCACAAATTCTTCATTTAGCTATTCTATTTTGTTGTATTCATTAAGAGCTTTTAAATGATCTATAACGCTCTCTTCATTTCCTCTTAATTCAGGCTCTGACTTTGTTTACCAAATAGAAATTGCCAAAATCAACTTATTAAAATAGAAAACAAAGATCTCTATAAACAAAGATTTTTATGAACAAAGATCTCTATAAACAAAGACCTTTATAGTCCTATCAAATCGGTCAGTTCTAAAATGAATTCAAAAATCACCCCACAAGCTGACCAGGATTAAAAATGCCACATTTGAAAAGCAAACACGATTTGGAACGGTTTGGGCTATGAGATGACTAAAATTTGAAAGTGTATCGATTTCAATTCACCAATTCATCCTGATTGAAATAAAATCGATAATGAAATGAAATCCATACTAATTGAAGAAAATTGTTCAATGTTTACTGTTAAATTTGACTGGATAACTTTATCTAGAACTTGAGTAGTATAGCTTTTTTCGTTTTCTAGAAAAAAATGTCGAAAACGCAAATGACACAAGATGATTTCTTCCTCATTTCTTTATAATCTTCCCATTGAAGATCTCTAACACAAATAGATCGCTTTTCAAGAAGAGAAATGAATAGAGGAATCAAAGATTATCAATTATTATTCGAGAAAAAATAAAACAGTGAAATTTTCACAAAATCTTTTTCAATGTAAAGTTTTTTTTTTGGTTAATTCTAGGTCTTCTCTTTTGTCTCATGCGTCAAGTCATTACGGAAAGGAAATTGAAAAGAATCAAAGCAAAATATAACCAAATTCTGCTAAAAAAAGTGATATTGAAATTTCTCATAAACTCAGACTGACTCAACTGACTCAGATTCTCTAGAACCTGGAAAATATGATACATCATTGACAAAAAAAGGCTCTATTGACATTTATTGATCGATTGAGAAAATTAAATCAAAACCAAGCTCTTTTTCAAACATTTCATATGCATTTAAAATTGAAATTGACATGAAATTGACATTTTTAATAGAAAAATATTTATGAATCAGAACCGGGATTTGGCTGGGAGAGGGATTGAAAAGCTGGAAAATGAAATGACTTTTAGAAAACTCAAGTTAAAATTTAAAATTAGTGCGTGTGCAATTTTTGGGTTTAAAAAGTTATTAAATGATTCTTTTGCTAAAAGGGTTAAAAGTCAAGTCAAATAGCTCAACATTTTGGAGCTTGATTGATTCAAAATTGAGTCAAGTTTTTAGCGAATTTATAAAAGTTCTCTGGAAAGTAAACATACAGTACTGGACAATGAAATATGATATTTGAAAAACGATCGTCACTTTCGCGGGCCCCCCCTTGGTTTTGTTTAAAATTTTTGTGTTTTTTTTTCTGAGGCTTTTTCAAGGGGCACACGATGGTAATATTAATATTTTGAATACGGTAAAGACAAGGGAGTTACAGACGGATGAAAGTGATGATCGTTTTTCGAATATGATATTTCATTGTCCAGTAGTGTAGATGATTTTAGATTCATAAATATTAGCTAAAAATCAAAGATTTTCTACAGCATTGATCTCTTTTAAAAAGAACTCCTTTAAAAAGCGATTAGCTTCATTTTAAACATATGGATCTAGTAACTTTTTGAGAGAGGATTTGCAAGAGAGGTCAAATGAAGAGAGGGATTGCGTTGATCTCTTCTTTCCACCAACAACAGGTCACTCACTTTCTCTTTTCTTTTCTCATTCAATCACAGGTCAAGGGCTAAGAAATGCAATAAATATCACTAAATTTCAAGATGTAAATCTGTAAATGATCAAAAAAAACCAAACAAAAACCGATTAAAGAAAAAATGAAAAATAAATAGGCTTAGAGACGTCACATCTGTTTAGACAAGATCGTTTGTTTAGACAAGATCTGTTTAGACCAGCTCTAAACCTCAAACCAGCTTTAAAGCTTTAAACAATCTGAAAGAATAGGAAAAGTGATTGAGAAAACAAAATAGATCAAAGAATTTAGATAAAGGATTTAGATAAAGAATTTAGCTTATTAAAATAAGATTAACTTCTTTAGACTAATTGCAAGTTTTGAAAAAAACGTGGTGTTCTTTTCTTAAACCTATCTTTTCTTTTTTTTCTGGTCATTCTTTGGGTTGTCTCTAGGGCATTAATTTATGCATCGTTTGTTTATACCAGCTCTAAACCTCATACCAGCTTTAAAGCTTTAAACAATCTGAAAGAATAGGAAAAGTGATTGAGAATAGGAAAATAGATCAAAGAATAGGAAAATTGATTGAGAAAACAAAATATATCAAAGAATTTAGATCAAGCAATTTAGTTTATTAAAATAAGATAAATAAGATTAACTTCTTTAGACTAATTGCAAGTTCTGAAAAAAATTGAAAATTGAATTGAATTGAATTGAATTCAAATTGAATTCAAATTGAATTCAAATTGAAATTTGAAAAACCAAAGTGGTGTTCTTTTCTTAAACCTATCTTTTCTTTTTTTTTTCTGGTCATTCTTTGGGTTGTCTCTAGGGCATTAATTTATGCATGCACGAAAAGACGTTTTCTGGATGAACCCCCAAAAATCGAGAAGATGTTAGACAACAACAGCTTTTAGATCTTAAAATGGATTTGTATCTCAATTTTACATGCAAATTTTTGAAAGCGTTGGTGTGTAAGTAAGTAAACTTGTAAGTTTATTTTCTTGATACTTACAAGAATCTTACTGACGTATAAAGTAGCAAAGCTGGCTTATGACAAAGTTTACAATGACAGAAAAGATTGTAAAACAAATTCTGCAAAAGCCTGTATAAAATACTCAACCAATCTCTGTTTTGTCTAGCCAGCGTTTCCCCAAAAAAAAATTGGTAATCCTATGAAGGAAATTTGAAGAGAATGGCTAAACAGATGCTTGAAAAGGGAAATGAACAAATTGGTGATGGAAGGTTTCACACTAGCAATCAACCAAATATCATCACACTTGACTTGGTTCATAGTGAAACAAAAAAGTAATCAGATTGTTAACATGTTGATAACGTTCAATTTGTTCATTTGTTAACTGACAATGAAAGGCTTCCGTTGGTAAGCCTGGTTTTTACTACTCAAATATGTACAGAATATAGATGAATAAGAAAGTTTGATGGTTAGAGTTTGATTTTAAATAAAGATCTATATGAATAGACA